CGGTGGGTTGAACATATGGTGGGCTGATCACACGGTGGGTTGAACACACGGTGGGTTCAACACACGGTGGGTTGAACCCACGATGGGTGGAACACACGGTGGGTTGAACACACGGTGGGTTCAACACACGGTGGGTTCAACTCACGGTGCGTTCAACACACGGTGGGTGGAACACATGGTGGGTTGAACACACGGTGGGTTGAACATACGGTGGGTTCAAAACATGGTGGGTTCAACACACGGTGCGTTGAACACACGGTGGGTGGAACACACGGTAGGTTGGACACACGGTGGGTTGAACATACGGTGGGCTGATCACACGGTGGGTTGAACACATGGTGGGTTCAACACACGGTGGGTTGAACCCATGGTTGGTGGAACACACGGTGGGTTGAACACAAGGTGGGTTGAACACACGGTAGGTTGAACACACAGTGGGTTGAACACACGGTGGGTTGATCACACGGTGGGTTGTACACAAGGTGGGTTGAACACACGGTGCGTTGAACACACTGTGGGTGGAACACACGGTGGGTTGAACACACAGTGGGTTGAACACACGGTGGGTTGATCACACGGTGGGTGGAACACACGGTGGGTTGAACACACGGTGGGTTCAACTCACGGTGGGTTCAACTCACGGTGCGTTGAACACACGGTGGGTGGAACACATGGTGGGTTGAACACACAGTGGGTTGAACACACGGTGGGTTCAGCTCACGGTGCGTTGAACACACAGTGGGTGGAACACATGGTGGCTTGAACACACGGTGGGTTGAACACACGGTGGGTTCAAAACATGGTGGGTTCAACACACGGTGCGTTGAACACACAGTGGGTGGAACACACGGTGGGTTGAACACACGGTGGGTTGAACATACGGTGGGCTGATCACACAGTGGGTTGAACACACGGTGGGTTCAACACACGGTGGGTTGAACCCATAATGGGTGGAACACACGGTGGGTTGAACACAAGGTGGGTTGAACACACGGTAGGTTGAACACATGGTGGGTTGAACACATGGAGGGTTCAACACACGGTGGGTTGAACAAACGGTGGGTTGAACACACGGTGGGTTGAACACACGGTGGGTTGAACACACGGTGGGTTCAACACACAGTGCGTTGAACACACGGTGGGTGGAACACACGGTGGGTTGAACACATGGTGGGTTGAAAACACGGTGGGTTGATCAGAAGGTGGGTGGAACACACGGTAGGTTGAACACACGATAGGTCGAACACACGGTGGGTTGAACACACGGTGGGTTGAGCACACAGCGGGTTGAACACACGGTGGGTTCAACACACGATGCGTTGAACACACGATGCGTTGAACACACGGTGGGTGGAACACACAGTGGGTTGAACACACGGTGGGTTGAACACAAGGTGGGTTGAACGCACGGTGGGTTGAACAAACGGTGGGTTGAACATACGGTGCGTTGAACACACGGTGGGTTTAACACATGGTGGGTTCAACACACGGTGCGTTGAACACACGGTGGGTGGAACACACGGTGGGTTGAACAGAAGGTGGGTTGAACACACGGTAGGTTGAACAAACGGTGGGTTGAACACACGGTGCGTTGAACACACGGTGGGTTAAAAACACGGTGGGTTCAACACACGGTGCGTTGAACACACGGTAGGTGAACACATGGTGGGTTGAACACACGGTGGGTTGATCACACGGTGGGTGGAACACACGGTGGGTTGAACACACGGTGGGTTGAACACACGATAAGTTGAACACACGGTCGGTTGAACACGCGGTGGTTTGAACACATGGTGGGTTGAACACACGGTAGGTTGAACACACGGTCGGTTGAACACACGGTGCGTTGAACACACGGTGGGTGGAGCACAAGGTGGGTTGAACACACAGTGGGTTGAACACACGGTGAGTTGATCACACGGTGGGTGGAACACACGGTGGGTTGAACACACAATGGGTTGAACACATGATAGGTTGAACACACTTTGGGTTGAACACACGGTGGGTTGAACACAAGGTGGTTTGAACACACGGTGGGTTGATCACATGGTGGGTGGAACACATGGTGGCTTGAACACACGGTGGGTTGAACACACGGTGGGTTCAAAACATGGTGGGTTCAACACACGGTGCGTTGAACACACAGTGGGTGGAACACACGGTGGGTTGAACACACGGAGGGTTGAACATACGGTGGGCTGATCACACAGTGGGTTGAACACACGGTGGGTTCAACACACGGTGGGTTGAACCCATAATGGGTGGAACACACGGTGGGTTGAACACAAGGTGGGTTGAACACACGGTAGGTTGAACACACGGTGGGTTGAACACATGGAGGGTTCAACACACGGTGGGTTGAACAAACGGTGGGTTGAACACACGGTGGGTTGAACACACGGTGGGTTGAACACACGGTGGGTTCAACACACAGTGCGTTGAACACACGGTGGGTGGAACACACGGTGGGTTGAACACATGGTGGGTTGAACACACGGTGGGTTGATCAGAAGGTGGGTGGAACACACGGTAGGTTGAACACACGATAGGTCGAACACACGGTGGGTTGAACACACGGTGGGTTGAGCACACAGCGGGTTGAACACACGGTGGGTTCAACACACGATGCGTTGAACACACGGTGGGTTGAACCCATAATGGGTGGAACACACGGTGGGTTGAACACACGGTGGGTGGAACACACAGTGGGTTGAACACACGGTGGGTTGAACTCAAGGTGGGTTGAACGCACGGTGGGTTGAACAAACGGTGGGTTGAACACACGGTGCGTTGAACACACGGTGGGTTTAACACACGGTGGGTTCAACACACGGTGCGTTGAACACACGGTGGGTGGAACACACGGTGGGTTGAACACAAGGTGGGTTGAACACACGGTAGGTTGAACAAACGGTGGGTTGAACACACGGTGCGTTGAACACACGGTGGGTTAAAAACACGGTGGGTTCAACACACGGTGCGTTGAACACACGGTGGGTTGAACACATGGTGGGTTGAACACACGGTGGGTTGATCACACGGTGGGTGGAACACACGGTGGGTTGAACACACGGTGGGTTGAACACACGATAAGTTGAACACACGGTGGGTTGAACACGCGGTGGTTTGAACACATGGTGGGTTGAACACACGGTAGGTTGAACACACGGTCGGTTGAACACATGGTGCGTTGAACACACGGTGGGTGGAGCACAAGGTGGGTTGAACACACAGTGGGTTGAACACACGGTGGGTTGATCACACGGTGGGTGGAACACACGGTGGGTTGAACACACAATGGGTTGAACACATGATAGGTTGAACACACTTTGGGTTGAACACACGGTGGGTTGAACACAAGGTGGTTTGAACACACGGTGGGTTGATCACATGGTGGGTGGAACACACGGTGGGTTGAACACACGGTGGGTTGAACACACGATAGGTTGAACACACGGTGGTTTGAACACACGGTGGGTTCAACACACGGTGGGTTGAACACACGGTAGGTTGAACACACGGTGGGTTGAACACACGGTGCGTTGAACACATGGTGGGTGGAACAGAGGGTGGGTTGAACACACACTGGGTTGAACACACGGTGGGTTGAACACACGGTGGGTTGAACACACGGTGGGTTCAACACACGGTGGGTTCAACACGCGGTGCGTTGAACACACGGTGGGTGGAACACATTGTGGGTTGAACATACGGTGGGTTGAACACACGGTGGGTTCAACAACACGGTGGGTTCAAGACGTGGTGCGTCTTGAACACACGGTGGGTGGAACACACGATGGGTTGAACACACGGTGGGTTGAACATACGGTGGGCTGATCACACGGTGGGTTGAACACACGGTGGGTTCAACAAATGGTGTGTTGAACACACGGTGGGTGGAACACACGGTAGGTTGAACACACGGTGGGTTGAACACACGGTGGGTTGAACACACAGTAAATTGAACACAAGGTGGGTTGAACACACGGTGGGTTGAATACATGGTGGGTGGAACACACGGTGGTTGGAACACACGTTGGGTTGCACACACGATAGGTTGAACACACGGTGGGTTTAACACACGGTGGGTTGAACACGCGGTGGGTTGAACACACGGTAGGTTGAACACACGGTGGGTTGAACACACGGTGCGTTGAACACACGGTGGGTGGAACACATGGTGGGTTGAACACACAGTGGGTTGAACACACGGTGGGTTGACACACAGTGGGTGGAACACACGGTGGGTTGAACACACGGTAGGTTCAACACACGGTAGGTTCAACACACGGTGCGTTGAACACACGGTTGGTTGAACACACAGTAAATTGAACACAAGGTGGGTTGAACACACGGTGGGTTGAATACATGGTGGGTGGAACACACGGTGGGTGGAACACACGTTGGGTTGCACACACGATAGGTTGAACACACGGTGGGTTTAACACACGGTGGGTTTAACACACGGTGGGTTGAACACACGGAAGGTTGAACACACGGTGGGTTGAACACACGGTGCGTTGAATCATGGTGGGTGGAACACACGGTGTGTTGAACACACAGTGGGTTGAACACACAGTGGGTTGACACACGGTGGGTGGAACACACGGTGGGTTGAACACACGGTGGGTTCAACACACAGTAGGTTCAACACACGGTGCGTTGAATCATGGTGGGTGGAACACACGGTGTGTTGAACACACAGTGGGTTGAACACACAGTGGGTTGACACACGGTGGGTTGAACACACGGTGGGTTGAACACACGGTGGGTGGAACACATGGTGGGTTGAACACACGGTGGGTTCAACACACGGTGGGTTCAACTCACGGTGCGTTTAACACACGGTGGGTGGAACACATGGTGGGTTGAACACATGGTGGGTTGAACATACGGTGGGTTCAAAACATGGTGGGTTCAACACACGGTGCGTTGAACACACGGTGGGTGGAACACACGGTAGGTTGAACACACGGTGGGTTGAACATACGGTGGGTTGATCACACGGTGGGTTGAACACACGGTGGGTTCAACACACGGTGGGTTGAACCCATGGTTGGTGGAACACACGGTGGGTTGAACACAAGGTGGGTTGAACACACGGTAGGTTGAACACACAGTGGGTTGAACACACGGTGGGTTGAACACACGGTGGGTTGTACACAAGGTGGGTTGAACACACGGTGCGTTGAACACACTGTGGGTGGAACACACGGTGGGTTGAACACACAGTGGGTTGAACACACGGTGGGTTGATCACACGGTGGGTGGAACAAACGGTGGGTTGAACACACGGTGGGTTCAACTCACGGTGGGTTCAACTCACGGTGCGTTGAACACACGGTGGGTGGAACACATGGTGGGTTGAACACACGGTGGGTTGAACACACGGTGGGTTCAACTCACGGTGCGTTGAACACACAGTGGGTGGAACACATGGTGGCTTGAACACACGGTGGGTTGAACACACGGTGGGTTCAAAACATGGTGGGTTCAACACACGATGCGTTGAACACACGTCCATGTCCACGTCCACGTCCATGTCCACGTCCATGTCCACGTCCATGTCCACGTCCATGTCCACGTCCATGTCCACGCCCATGTCCACGTCCACGTCCACGTCCATGTCCACGTCCATGTCCACGTCCACGTTTACGTCCAGGTCCATGTCCAGGTCCATGTCCACGTCCATGTCCACGTCCACGTCCATGTCCACGTCCACGTCCACGTCCACGTCCACGTCCACGTCCACGTCCATGTCCACGTCCACGTCCACGTCCACGTCCACGTCCAGGTCCACGTCCACGTCCAGGTCCACGTCCACGTCCATGTCCACGTCCATGTCCACGTCCACGTCCACGTCCACGTCCATGTCCACGTCCATGTCCACGTCCACGTCCATGTCCACGTCCAGGTCCACGTCCATGTCCACGTCCATGTCCACGTCCATGTCCACATCTACGTCTACGTCCACGTCCATGTCCACGTCCACGTCCAGGTCCACGTCCATGTCCATGTCCACGTCCACGTCCGCGTCCATGTCCACGTCCACGTCCATGTCCACGTCCATGTCCACGTCCATGTCCACGTCCACGTCTATGTCCACGTCCATGTCCACGTCCATGTCCACTTCCACGTCCACGTCCACGTCCATGTCTACGTCCACGTCCATGTCCACGTCCACGTCCACGTCCACGTCCATGTCCACGTCCACGTCCACGTCCACGTCTATGTCCACGTCCACGTCCATGTCCACGTCCACATCCACGTCCACGTCCACTTCCACGTCCATGTCCACGTCCACGTCCACGTCCACGTCCACATCCACGTCTACATCCACGTAAACATCCACTTTCACGACCATGTCCACGTCACGTCCACGTCCACATCCACATCCACGTCCACAACCACATCCATGTCCACGACCACGTCCACGTCTACGTCCACGTCCATGTCCACATCCACGTCCAGGTCCACGTCCATGTCCACGTCCATGTCCACGTTCACGTCCACGTCCACGACCATGTCCACGTCCACGACCACGTCCACGTCCACGTCCATGTCCACGTCCACGTCCACGTCCACGTCCACGACCACGTCCACGTCCACATCCACCTCCACATCCACGTCCACGACCACGTCCACGTCCACGTCCACGTCCACATCCACGTCCACAACCACGTCCACGTCCACGACCACGTCCACGTCCACGTCCACGACCACATCCACGTCCACGTCCACGTCCACGTCCACGTCCACGTCCACGACCACGTCCACGTCCACGTCCACGTCCACGTCCACGTCCACGACCATGTCCACGTCCATGTCCACGTCCACGTCCACGTCCACGTCCATGTCCATGTCCACAACCACGTCCATGTCCACGACCACGTCCACGTCCATGTCCACGTCCACGACCACCTCCACATCCACGACCACCTCCACGACCACGTCCACGTCCACGTCCACGTCCACGACCATGTCCACGTCTATGTCCACGTCCACGTCCACGTCCACGTCCACGTCCATGTCCACGTCCACGTCCATGTCCACGTCCATGTCCACGTCCATGTCCACGTCCATGTCCACGTCCATGTCCACGCCCATGTCCACGTCCACGTCCACGTCCATGTCCACGTCCACGTCAACGTCCACGTCCACGTCCACGACCACGTCCACGTCCACGTCCATGTCCACGTCCATGACCATGTCCACGTCCATGTCCACGTCCAAGTCCACGTCCACGTCCACGTCCACGTCCATGTCCACGTTCACGTCTATGTCCACGTCCATGTCCACGTCCACGTCCACGTCCACGTCCACGTCCATGTCCACGTCCACGTCCACGTCCACGTCCATGTCCACGTCCACGTCCACGTCCACGTCCATGTCCACGTCCACGTCCACGTCCACGTCCATGTCCAAGTCCATGTCCACGTCCACGTCCACGTCCACGTCTATGTCCACGTCCACGTCCACGTCCACGTCCACGTCGATGTCCACGTAAACGTCCTCGTCCAGGTCCACGTCCACGTCCATGTCCACGTCCACGTCCACGTCCATGTCCACGTCCACGTCCACGTCCATGTCCACGTCCACGTCCACGTCCACGTCCACGTTCACGTCCATATCCACGTCCATGTCCACGTCCATGTCCACGTCCATGTCCACGTCCATGTCCACGTCCACGTCCACGTCTACGTCCACGTCCACGTCCATGTCCACGTCCACGTCCATGTCCACGTCCACGTCCACGTCCACGTCCACGTCCACATCCATGTCCACATCCACGTCCACGTCCACGTCCATGTCCACGTCCACGTCCACGTCCACGTCCACGTCCACGACCATGTCCACGACCACGTCCATGTCCACGTCCACGTCCACGTCCACGTCCACGACCATGTCCACGTCCACGACCACGTCCACGTCCACGTCCACGTCCATGTCCACGTCCAAGTCTTCCACGTCCACGAACACGTCCACGTCCACATCCACGTCAACATCCACGTCCACGACCACGTCCACGTCCACGTCCATGTCCACGTCCACCTCCACGTCCACGACCATGTCCACCTCCACGACCATGTCCACATCCACGTCCACGTCCATGTCCACGTCCACGTCCACGTCCACGTCCTTGTCCACGTCCATGTCCACGTCCACATCCACGTCCACGTCCATGTCCACGTCCATGTCCACGTCCATGTCCACGTCCATGTCCACGTCCATGTCCATGTCAACGTCCATGTCCATGTCCACGTCCACGATCACGTCCACGTCCACATCCACGTCCATGTCCACGTCCACGTCCACGTCCACGACCATGTCCACGTCCACGACCACGTCCACGTCCACGTCCACGTCCATGTCCACGTCCAAGTCTTCCACGTCCAGGACCACGTCCCACGTCAACATCCACGTCCACGTCCACGTCCACATCCACGTCCACGTCTACCTCCACGTCCACGACCATGTCCACGTCCACGACCACGTCCACGTCCACGTCCACGTCCATGTCCACGTCCACGTCCACGTCCATGTCCACGTCCATGTCGACGTCCACATCCACGTCCACGTCCATGTCCACGTCCATGTCCACGTCCACGTCCACGTCCATGTCCACGTCCCTGTCCATGTCCATGTCCATGTCCATGTCCATGTCCACGTCCACGACCACGTCCACGTCCACGTCCACGTCCACATCCTCGTCCACGTCCACGTCCACGTCCACGACCATGTCCACGTCCACGACCACGACCACGTCCACGTCCACGTCCATGTCCACGTCCACGTCCACGTCCACGACCATGTCCACGTTCACGTCCACGTCCACGTCAACCTCCACATTCACGACCACGTCCACGTCCACATCCACATCCACGTCCACAACCACGTCCACATCCACGTCCACGACCAGGTCCACGTCCACGACCACATCCACGTCCACGTCCACGTCCACGTCCATGTCCACGTCCACGTCCACGTCCACGACCATGTCCACGACCACGTCCACGTCCACGTCCATGTCCACGTCCACGTCCACGACCATGTTCACGTCCATGTCCACGTCCACGTCCACGTCCACGTCCACGTCCATGTCCACATCCACATCTATGTCCACGTCCACGTCCACGTCCATGTCCACGTCCATGTCCACGTCCATGTCCACGTCCATGTCCACGTCCATGTCCACGTCTACGTCTACGTCCACGTCCATGTCCACGTCCACGTCCAGGTCCACGTCCACGTCCATGTCCACGTCCACGTCCACGTCCCTGTCCACGTCCACGTCCATGTCCACGTCCATGTCCACGTCCATGTCCACGTCCACGTCCACGTCTATGTCCACGTCCACGTCCACGTCCACGTCCATGTCCACGTCCACGTCCACGTCCACGTCCATGTCCACGTCCACGTCCATGTCCACGTCCACGTCCACGTCCACGTGCACGTCCATGTCCACGTCCACGTCCACGTCCACGTCTATGTCCACGTCCACGTCCATGTCCACGTCCACGTCCACGTCCACGTCCACTTCCACGTCCATATCCACGTCCACGTCCACGTCCACGTCCATTTCCACGTCTACATCCACGTAAACATCCACTTCCACGACCATGTCCACGTCCACGTCCACGTCCACGTCCACATCCACGTCTACAACCACGTCCACGTCCACGACCACGTCCACGTCTACGTCCACGTCCATGTCCACGTCCACGTCCAGGTCCACGTTCACGTCCACGTCCACGACCATGTCCACGTCCACGTCCATGTCCATGTCCACGTCCATGTCCACGTCCATGTCCATGTCCACGTCCATGTCCACGTCTATGTCCATGTCCACGTCCATGTCCACGTCCATGTCCACGTCCATGTCCATGTCCACGTCCATGTCCACGTCCACGTCCACGTCTATGTCCACGTCCACGTCCACGTCCATGTCCACGTCCACGTCCACGTCCACGTCCATGTCCACGTCCACGTCCATGTCCACGTCCACGTCCACGTCCACGTCCACGTCCATGTCCACGTCCACGTCCACGTCCACATCTATGTCCACGTCCACGTCCATGTCCACGTCCACGTCCACGTCCACGTCCACTTCAACGTCCATGTCCACGTCCACGTCCACGTCCACGTCCACATCCACGTCCACATCCACGTAAACATCCACTTCCACGACCATGTCGACGTCCACGTCCACGTCCACATCCACGTCCACAACCACGTCCACGTCCACGACCACGTCTACGTCCACGTCCATGTCCACGTCCACGTCCATGTCCACGTTCACGTCCACGTCCACGACCATGTCCACGTCCACGACCACGTCCACGTCCATGTCCACGTCCACGTCCACGTCCACGTCCACGACCACGTCCACGTCCACGTCCACGTCCACGACCACGTCCACGTCCACGTCCACGTCCACATCCACGTCCACGACCACGTCCACGTCCACGTCCACGTCCACATCCACGTCCACGACCACGTCCACGTCCACGACCACGTCCACGTCCACGTCCACGACCACGTCCACGTCCACGACCACGTCCACGTCCACGACCACGTCCACGTCCACGTCCACGTCCACGACCATGTCCACGTCCATGTCCACGTCCACGTCCACGTCCATGTCCATGTCCACGACCACGTCCATGTCCACGACCACGTCCACGTCCATGTCCACGTCCACGACCACCTCCACGTCCACGACCACCTCCAAGACCACGTCCACGTCCACGTCCACGACCACGTCCACGTCCACGACCACGTCCACGTCCACGTCCACGTCCACGTCCACGACCATGTCCACATCCATGTCCACGTCCACGTCCACGTCCACGTCTACGTCCACGTCCACGTCCATGTCCACGTCCACGTCCATGTCCACGTCCATGTCCACGTCCATGTCCACGTCCATGTCCACGTCCATGTCCACGCCCATGTCCACGTCCACGTCCACGTCCATGTCCACGTCCATGTCCACGTCCACGTCCACGTCCACATCCACGTCCACGACCACGTCCACGTCCACGTCCACGTCCACGTCCACGACCACGTCCACGTCCACGTCCACGTCCACGTCCACGACCACGTCCACGTCCACGTCCACGTCCACGACCACGTCCACGACCACGTCCACGTCCACGTCCACGTCCACGACCATGTCCACGTCCATCTCCACGTCCACGTCCACGTCCATGTCCATGTCCATGTCCACGACCACGTCCATGTCCACGACCACGTCCACGTCCATGTCCACGTCCACGACCACCTCCACGTCCACGACCACCTCCAAGACCACGTCCACGTCCACGTCCACGTCCACGTCCACGACCATGTCCACGTCCATGTCCACGTCCACGTCCACGTCCACGTCTACGTCCACGTCCACGTCCATGTCCACGTCCACGTCCATGTCCACGTCCATGTCCACGTCCATGTCCACGTCCATGTCCACGTCCATGTCCACGCCCATGTCCACGTCCACGGCCACGTCCATGTCCACGTCCATGTCCACGTCCACGTCCACGTCCAGGTCGATGTCCAGGTCCATGTCCACGTCCATGTCCACGTCCACGTCCATGTCCACGTCCACGTCCACGTCCACGTCCACGTCCACGTCCACGTCCATGTCCACGTCCACGTCCACGTCCACGTCCATGTCCACGTCCAGGTCCACGTCCACGTCCAGGTCCACGTCCACGTCCATGTCCACGTCCATGTCTACGTCCACGTCCATGTCCACGTCCATGTCCACGTCCATGTCCACGTCCACGTCCATGTCCACGTCCATGTCCACGTCCATGTCCACGTCCATGTCCACGTCCATGTCCACGTCTACGTCTACGTCCACGTCCATGTCCACGTCCACGTCCAGGTCCACGTCCACGTCCATGTCCACGTCCACGTCCGCGTCCATGTCCACGTCCACGTCCATGTCTCCGTCCATGTCCACGTCCATGTCCACGTCCACGTCCATGTCTATGTCCACGTCCACGTCCACGTCCACGTCCATGTCCACTTCCACGTCCACGTCCACGTCCATGTCCACGTCCACGTCCATGTCCATGTCCACGTCCACGTCCACGTCCATGTCCACGTCCACGTCCACGTCCACGTCTATGTCCACGTCCACGTCCATGTCCACGTCCACGTCCACGTCCACGTCCACTTCCACGTCCATGTCCACGTCCAGGTCCACGTCCACGTCCACATCCACGTCCACATCCACGTAAACATCCACTTCCACGACCATGTCCACGTCCACGTCCACGTCCACGTCCACATCCACGTCCACAACCACGTCCATGTCCACGACCACGTCCACGTCTACGTCTACGTCCATGTCCACATCCACGTCCAGGTCCACGTCCATGTCCACGTCCATGTCCACGTTCACGTCCACGTCCACGACCATGTCCACGTCCACGACCACGTCCACGTCCACGTCCATGTCCACGTCCACGTCCACGTCCACGTCCACGACCACGTCCACGTCCACGTCCACATCCACCTCCACATCCACGTCCACGACCACGTCCACGTCCACGTCCACGTCCACATCCACGTCCACGACCACGTCCACGTCCACGACCACGTCCACGTCCACGTCCACGACCACATCCACGTCCACGTCCACGTCCACGTCCACGACCACGTCCACGTCCACGTCCACGTCCACGACCATGTCCACGTCCATGTCCACGTCCACGTCCACGTCCACGTCCATGTCCATGTCCACAACCACGTCCATGTCCACGACCACGTCCACGTCCATGTCCACGTCCACGACCACCTCCACATCCACGACCACCTCCACGACCACGTCCACGTCCACGTCCACGTCCACGACCATGTCCACGTCCATGTCCACGTCCACGTCCACGTCCACGTCCACGTCCATGTCCACGTCCTCGTCCATGTCCACGTCCATGTCCACGTCCATGTCCACGTCCACGTCCATGTCCACGTCCATGTCCACGTCCACGTCCACGTCCAGGTCCATGTCCAGGTCCATGTCCACGTCCATGTCCACGTCCACGTCCATGTCTACGTCCACGTCCACGTCCACGTCCACGTCCACGTCCACGTCGATGTCCACGTCCACATCCACGTCCACGTCTACGTCCACGTCCACGTCCAGGTCCACGTCCACGTCCAGGTCCACGTCCACATCCATGTCCACGTCCACATCCACGTCCCCGACCATGTCCACGTCCACGACCATGTCCACGTCCACGTCCACGTCCATGTCCATGTCCACGTCCACGTCCATGTCCACGTCCACGTCCACGTCCACGTCCATGTCCACGTCCATGTCCATGTCCATGTCCACATCCATGTCCACGTCCACGTCCACTTCCACGTCCATGTCCACGTCCATGTCCACGTCCATGTCCACGTCCACGTCCACGTCCACGTCCACGTCCATGTCCACGTCCACGTCCATGTCCACGTCCATGTCCACGTCCACGTCATGTCCATCTCCACGTCCACGTCCACGTCCACGTCCACGTCCACGACCACGTCCACGTCCACGTCCACGTCCACGTCCATGTCCACGTCCACGTCCACGTCCACGTCCATGACCACGTCCACGTCCACGTCCACGTCCACGACCACGTCCAGGTCCACGTCCATGTCCACGTCCACGTCCATGACCATGTCCACGTCCATGTCCACGTCCAAGTCCACGTCCACGTCCACGTCCACGTCCATGTCCACGTTCACGTCCACGTCTACGTCCACGTCCATGTCCACGTCCACGTCCATGTCCACGTCCACATCCACGTCCATGTCCACGTCCACGTCCACGTCCACGTCCACGTCCATGTCCTCGTCCACGTCCATGTCCACGTCCACGTCCACGTCCACGACCACGTCCACGTCCACGTCCACGTCCATGACCATGTCCACGTCCATGTCTACGTCCATGTTCACGTCCACGTCCACGTCCATGTCCACGTCCACGTCCACGTCCACGTCCATGTCCACGTCCACGTCCACGTCCATGTCCACGTCCACGTCCATGTCCACGTCCATGTCCACGTCCATGTCCACGTCCACGTCCACGTCCATGTCCACGTCGACGTCCATGTCCACGTCCACGTCCACGTCCACGTACACGTCCACGTCCATGTCCACGTCCATGTCCACGTCCACGTCCACGACCACGTCCACGTCCACGTCCATGTCCACGTCCACGTCCACGTCCACGTCCATGTCCACGTCCACGTCCACGTCCACGTCCACGTCCATGTCCACGTCCACGTCCATGTCCACGTCCACGTCCACGTCCACGTCCACGTCCACGACCATGTCCACGTCCACGTCCACGTCCATGTCCATGACCATGTCCACGTCCAAGTCCACGTCCAAGTCCACGTCCACATCCACGTCCACGTCCATGTCCACGTCCACGTCTATGTCCACGTCCACGTCCACGTCCACGTCCATGTCCACGTCCACGTCCACGTCCACGTCCATGTCCACGTCCACGTCCACGTCCACGTCCATATCCACGTCCACGTCCACGTCCACGTCCATGTCCACGTCCACGTCCACGTCCATGATCACGTCCACGTCCACGTCCACGGCCACGTCCACGTCAATGTCCACGTCCACGTCCATGTCCACGTCCACGTCCACGTCCACGTCCACGTCCATGTCCCCGTCCACGTCCCCGTCCACGTCCACGTCCACGTCCATGTCCACGACGTCCATGTCCATGTCCACGTCCACGTCCACGTCCATATCCACATCCATGTCCACGTCCATGTCCAAGTCCACGTCCATGTCCACGTCCATATCCACATCCATGTCCACGACCATGTCTACGTCCACGTCCACGTCCACGTCCACGTCCATGTCCATGTCCACGTCCACGTCCACGTCCACGTCCATGTACACGTCCACGTCCACGTCCATGTCCACGTCCACGTCCACGTCCACGTCCATGTCCACGTCCACGTCCACGTCCACGTCCACGTCCACGTCCAAGTCCACGACCATGCCCACGTCCACGTCCACGTCCACGTCCACGACCATGTCCACGTCCACGACCACGTCCACGTCCACGTCCACGTCCACGTCCACCTCCACGTCCACGACCATGTCCACGCCCACGACCACGTCGACGTCCACGTCCACGTCCATGTCCACGTCCACGTCCACATCCATGTCCACGTCCATGTCCACGTCCACCTCCACGTCCACGTCCACGTCCATGTCCACGTCCATGTCCACGTCCACGTCCACGTCCATGTCCACGTCCATGTCCATGTCCATGTTCATGTCCACGTCCATGTCCATGTCTACGTCGACGACCACGTCCACGTCCACGTCCACATTCATGTCCACGTCCACGACCACGTCCACGTCCACGTCCACGTCCACGTCCACGACCATGTCCACGTCCACGTCCACGTCCATGTCCATGACCATGTCCACGTCGAAGTCCACGTCCAAGTCCACGTCCACATCCACGTCCACGTCCATGTCCACGTCCACGTCTATGTCCACGTCCACGTCCACGTCCACGTCCATGTCCACGTCCACGTCCACGTCCACGTCCATGTCCACGTCCACGTCCACGTCCACGTCCATATCCACGTCCACGTCCACGTCCACGTCCATGTCCACGTCCACGTCCACGTCCACGTCCATGTCCACGTCCACGTCCACGTCCACGGCCACGTCCACGTCAATGTCCACGTCCACGTCCATGTCCACGTCCACGTCCACGTCCACGTCCATGTCCCCGTCCACGTCCCCGTCCACGTCCACGTCCACGTCCATGTCCACGACGTCCATGTCCATGTCCACGTCCACGTCCACGTCCATATCCACATCCATGTCCACGTCCATGTCCAAGTCCACGTCCATGTCCACGTCCATATCCACATCCATGTCCACGACCATGTCTACGTCCACGTCCACGTCCACGTCCACGTCCATGTCCATGTCCACGTCCACGTCCACGTCCACGTCCATGTACACGTCCACGTCCACGTCCATGTCCACGTCCACGTCCACGTCCACGTCCATGTCCACGTCCACGTCCACGTCCACGTCCACGTCCACGTCCAAGTCCACGACCATGCCCACGTCCACGTCCACGTCCACGTCCACGTCCACGACCATGTCCACGTCCACGACCACGTCCACGTCCACGTCCACGTCCACGTCCACCTCCACGTCCACGACCATGTCCACGCCCACGACCACGTCGACGTCCACGTCCACGTCCATGTCCACGTCCACGTCCACATCCATGTCCACGTCCATGTCCACGTCCACCTCCACGTCCACGTCCACGTCCATGTCCACGTCCATGTCCACGTCCACGTCCACGTCCATGTCCACGTCCATGTCCATGTCCATGTTCATGTCCACGTCCATGTCCATGTCCACGTCGACGACCACGTCCACGTCCACGTCCACATTCATGTCCACGTCCACGTCCACGTCCACGACCATCTCCACGTCCACGACCACAGCCACGTCCACGTCCACGTCCACGTCCATGTCCACGTCCAAGTCTTCCACGTCCACGACCACGTCCACATCCACGTCAACATCCACGTCCACGACCACGTCCAGGTCCACGTCCACGTCCACGTCCACCTCCACGTCCACGACCATGTCCACGTCCACGACCACGTCCACGTCCACGTCCACGTCCATGTCCACGTCCACGTCCACGTCCATGTCCACGTCCATGTCCACGTCCACATCCACGTCCACGTCCATGTCCACGTCCATGTCCACGTCCACGTCCACGTCCATGTCCACGTCCATGTCCATGTCCATGTCCACGTCCATGTCCATGTCCACGTCCATGACCACGTCCACGTCCACGTCCATGTCCACGTCCACGTCCATGTCGACGTCCACGTCCACGTCCACGTCCACGTCCACGACCTCGTCCATGTCCACGTCCACGTCCACGTCCACGACCACGTCCACGTCCACGTCCATGTCCATGTCCAAGTCCACGTCCACGTCCACGTCCATGTCCACGTCCATGCTAGGTCCACGTCCATGTCCACGTCCACGTCCACGTCCACGTCCACGTCCACGTTCATGTCTACGTCCACGTCCACGTCCATGTCCACGTCCACGTCCACCTCCATGTCCACGTCCACGTCCACGTCCACGTCCACGTCCACGTCCATGTCCACGTCCAGTCCACGTCCACGTCCATGTCCACGTCCACGTGCACGTCCACGTCCATGCCCACGTCCACGTCCACGTCCACGTCCATGTCCATGTCCACGTCCACGTCCACGTCCATATCCACGTCCATGTCCACGTCCATGTCCACGTCCATGTCCACGTCCACGACCATGTCCACGACCAAGTCCACGTCCATGTCCACATCCACGTCCACGTCCATGTCCATGTCCACGTCCACGTCCACGTCCACGTCCACGTCTATGTCCACGTCCACGTCCACATCTACGTCCACGTCCACGACCATGTCCACGTCCACGACCACGTCCACGTCCACGTCCACGTCCATGTCCACGTCCAAGTCTTCCACGTCCACGACCACGTCCACGTCCACATCCACGTGAACATCCACGTCCACGACCACGTCCACGTCCACGTCCACGTCCACCTCAACGTCCACGACCATGTCCACGTCCACGACCACGTCCACGTCCACGTCCATGTCCACGTCCACGTCCACGTCCACGTCCATGTCCACGTCCACGTCCACGTCCACATCCACGTCCACGTCCATGTCCACGTCCACGTCCACGACAACGTCCACGTCCACCTCCACGTCCACTTCCACGCCCACGTCCACGTCCACGTCCACTTCCACGTCCATGTCCACGTCCACGTCCACGTCCACGTCCACGTCCACGTCCATTTCCACGACCATGTCCACGTCCACGACCACGTCCACATCCACGTCCACGACCACGTCCACGTCCACGACCACGTCCACTTCCACGACCACGTCCACGTCCACGTCCACGTCCATGTCCACGTCCACGTCCACGTCCACGTCCACGTCCACGTCCACGACCACGTCCATCTCCACGTCCACGTCCACGTCCACGACCATGTCCACGTCCACGACCACGTCCACGTCCACGTCCATGTACACGTCCAAGTCTTCCACGTCCACGACCACGTCCACGTCCACATCCACGTCAACATCCACGTCCACGACCATGTCCACGTCCACGTCCACGTCCACGTCCACATCCACGTCCCCAACCATGTCCACGTCCACGACCACGTCCACGTCCACGTCCACGTCTATGTCCATGTCCACGTCCACGTCCATGTCCACGTCCACGTCCACGTCCACGTCCACGTCCATGTCCACGTCCATGTCCATGTCCATGTCCACATCCATGTCCACGTCCACGTCCACGTCCACGTCCATGTCCACGTCCATGTCCACGTCCATGTCCATGTCCACGTCCACGACCACGACCACGTCCATGTCCACGTCCACGTCCACGTCCACGACCACGTCCATGTCCACGTCCACGTCCATGTCCACGTCCATGTCCACGTCCACGTCCATGTCCATCTCCACGTCCACGTCCACATCCACGTCCACGTCCACGTCCACGTCCACATCCATGACCACGTCCACGTCCACGTCCACGTCCATGTCCACGTCCACGTCCATGTCCATGACCACGTCCACGTCCACGTCCACGTCCACAACCACGTCCACGTCCACGTCCACGTCCACGTCCACGTCCACGTCCACGTCCATGTCCACGTCCACGTCCACGTCCACGTCCACGTCCATGTCCACGTCCACGTCCACGTCCACGTCCATGTCCACGTCCACGTCCACGTCCACGTCCACGTCCATGTCCACGTCCACGTCCACGTCCATGTCCACGTCCACGTCCAGGTCCACGTCCACGTCCACGTCCACGTCCACGACCACGTCCACGTCCACGTCCATGACCATGTCCACGTCCATGTCCACGTCCATGTTCACGTCCACGTCCACGTCCACGTCCATGTCCACGTCCACGTCCACGTCCACGTCCATGTCCACATCCACGTCCACGTCCATGTCCACGTCCACGTCCATGTCCACGTCCATGTCCACGTCCATGTCCACGTCCACGTCCACGTCCATGTCCACGTCAACGTCCACGTCCACGTCCACGTCCACGTCCATGTCCACGTCCACGTCCACGTCCACGTCCACGACCATGTCCATGTCCACGACCACGTCCACGTCCACGTCCATCTCCACGTCCAAGTCTTCCACGTCCACGACCACGTCCACGTCCACATCCACGTCAACATCCACGTCCACAACCATGTCTACGTCCACATCCACGTCCACGTCCACGTCCACGTCCAGGACCATGTCCACGTCCACGTCCACGTCCACGTCCACATCCATGTCCACGTCGACGTCCACGTCCACGTCCATGTCCACGTCCACGTCCATGTCCACGTCCACGTCCACGTCCACGTCCACGTCCACGTCCATGTCCACGTCCATGTCCACGTCCACGTCCAGGACCACGTCCACGTCGACGTCCATGTCCACGTCCACGTCCATGTCCACGTCCACGTCCACGTCCATGTCCACGTCCACGTCCACGTCCACGTCCACGTCCACGTCCATGTCCACGTCCACGTCCACGTCCACGTCCACGTCTACGTCCACGACCATGTCCATGTCCACGACCACGTCCACGTCCACGTCCACGTCCATGTCCACGTCCAAGTCTTCCACGTCCACAACCACGTCCACGTCCACATCCACGTCAACATCCACGTCCACGACCATGTCCACGTCCACATCCACGTCCACGTCCACGTCCACGTCCACGACCATGTCCACGTCCACGTCCACGTCCATGACCATGTCCACGTCCATGTCCACGTCCATGTTCACGTCCACGTCCACGTCCACGTCCATGTCCACGTCCACGTCCACGTCCACGTCCATGTCCACGTCCACGTCCATGTCCACGTCCACATCCACGTCCACGTCCACGTCCACGACCACGTCCACGTCCACGTCCACGTCCATGACCATGTCCACGTCCATGTCCACGTCCATGTTCACGTCCACGTCCACGTCCACGTCCATGTCCACGTCCACGTCCACGTCCACGTCCACGTCCATGTCCACGTCCACGTCCATGTCCACGTCCACGTCCATGTCCACGTCCATGTCCACGTCCATGTCCACGTCCACGTCCACGTCCATGTCCACGTCCACGTCCATGTCCACGTCCACGTCCACGTCCACGTCCACGTCCATGTCCACGTCTATGTCCACGTCCACGTCCACGACCACGTCCACGTCGACGTCCATGTCCACGTCCACGTCCACGTCCATGTCCACGTCTATGTCCACGTCCACGTCCACGTCCACGTCCATGTCCACGTCCACGTCCATGTCCACGTCCACGTTCACGTCCACGTCCACGTCCATGTCCACGTCAATGTCCACGTCCACGTCCACGACCACGTCCACGTCCATGTCCACGTCCACGTCCACGTCCATGTCCACGTCCACGTCCATGTCCACGTCCACGTCCACGTCCACGTCCACGTCCATGTCCACGTCTATGTCCACGTCCACGTCCACGACCACGTCCACGTCGACGTCCATGTCCACGTCCACGTCCACGTCCATGTCCACGTCTATGTCCACGTCCACGTCCACGTCCACGTCCACGTCCATGTCCACGTCCACGTCCACGTCCACGTCCACGACCATGTCCACGTCCACGTCCACGTCCATGTCCATGACCATGTCCACGTCCAAGTCCACGTCCAAGTCCACGTCCACATCCACGTCCACGTCCATGTCCACGTCCACGTCTATGTCCACGTCCACGTCCACGTCCACGTCCACGTCCACGTCCACATCCACGTCCACGTCCACGTCCACGTCCACGTCCACGTCCATGTCCACGTCCACGTCCACGTCCACGTCCACGTCCACGTCCACGTCCACGTCCACGTCCATGACCATGTCCACGTCCACGTCCACGTCCATGTTCACGTCCACGACCACGTCCATGTCCACGTCCACGTCCACGTCCACGTCCATGTCCACGTCCACGTCCATGTCCACGTCCACGTCCATGTCCACGTCCATGTCCACGTCCATGTCCACGTCCACGTCCACGTCCACCTCCATGTCCACGTCCACGTCCACGTCCACGTCCACGTCCACGTCCACGTCCATGTCCACGTCCATGTCCACGTCCACGTCCACGACCACGTCCACGTCGACGTCCATGTCCACGTCCACGTCCACGTCCACGTCCATGTCCACGTCCATGTCCACGTCCACGTCCACGTCCACGTCCACGTCCACGTCCATGTCCACGTCCACGTCCATGTCCACGTCCACGTCCACGTCCACGTCCACGACCATGTCCACGTCCACGTCCACGTCCATGTCGATGACCATGTCTACGTCCAAGTCCACGTCCAAGTCCACGTCCACATCCACGTCCACGTCCATGTCCACGTCCACGTCTATGTCCACGTCCACGTCCACGTCCACGTCCATGTCCACGTCCACGTCCACGTCCACGTCCATGTCCACGTCCACGTCCACGTCCATGTCCACGTCCACGTCCACGTCCACGTCCATGTCCATGTCCACGTCCACGTCCACGGCCACGTCCACGTCAATGTCCACGTCTACGTCCATGTCCACGTCCACGTCCACGTCCACGTCCACGTCCATGTCCCCGTCCACGTCCCCGTCCACGTCCACGTCCACGTCCATGTCCACGACGTCCATGTCCATGTCCACGTCCACGTCCACGTCCATATCCACATCCATGTCCATGTCCACGTCCATGTCCACGTCCACGTCCACGTCCACGTCCATGTCCACGTCCACGTCCACGTCCACGTCCATGTCCACGTCCACGTCCATGTCCACGTCCACATCCACGTCCACGTCCACGTCCACGTCCATGTCCACGTCCACGTCCACGTCCACGTCCACGTCCATGTCCACGTCCACGTCCACGTCTACGTCCACGTCCACGTCCATGTCCACGACCATGTCCATGTCCACGACCACGTCCACGTCCACGTCCACGTCCATGTCCACGTCCAAGTCTTCCACGTCCACGACCACGTCCACGTCCACATCCACGTCAACATCCACGTCCACGACCATGTCCACGTCCACATCCACGTCCACGTCCACGTCCACGACCATGTCCACGTCCACGTCCACGTCCACGTCCACGTCCATGACCATGTCCACGTCCATGTCCACGTCCATGTTCACGTCCACGTCCACGTCCACGTCCATGTCCACGTCCACGTCCACGTCCACGTCTACGTCCATGTCCACGTCCACGTCCATGTCTACGTCCACATCCACGTCCACGTCCACGTCCAAGTCCACGTCCACGACCACGTCCACGTCCACGTCCACCTCCATGACCATGTCCACGTCCATGTCCACGTCCATGTTCACGTCCACGTCCACGTCCACGTCCATGTCCACGTCCACGTCCACGTCCACGTCCATGTCCACGTCCACGTCCACGTCCATGTCCACGTCCACGTCCATGTCCACGTCCATGTCCACGTCCATGTCCACGTCCACGTCCACGTCCACGTCCATGTCCACGTCCACGTCCATGTCCACGTCCACGTCCACGTCCACGTCCACGTCCACGTCCATGTCCACGTCCACGTCCACGACCACGTCCACGTCGACGTCCATGTCCACGTCCACGTCCACGTCCATGTCCACGTCCATGTCCACGTCCACGTCCACGTCCACGTCCATGTCCATGTCCACGTCCACGTCCATATCCACGTCCACGTCCACGTCCACGTCCACGTCCACGACCATGTCCACGTCCACGTCCACGTCCATGTCTATGACCACGTCCAAGTCCAAGTCCACGTCCAAGTCCACGTCCACGTCCACGTCCACGTCCACGTCCACGTCTATGTCCACGTCCACGTCCACGTCCGTGTCCACGTCCACGTCCACGTCCACGTCCACATCCACGTCCACATCCACGTCCACGTCCATGTCCACGTCCACATCCACGTCCACGTCCACGTCCAAGTCCACGTCCACGACCACGTCCACGACCACGTCCACGTCCACGTCCACGTCCATGTCCACGTCCATGTTCACGTCCATGTTCACGTCCACGTCCACGTCCACGTCCATGTCCACGTCCACGTCCACGTCCACGTCCACGTCCACGTCCACGTCCACGTCCATATCCACGTCCATGTCCACGTCCACGTCCACGTCCACGTCCACGTCCATGTCCACGTCCACGTCCATGTCCACGTCCACGTCCACGTCCACGTCCACGTCCATGTCCACGTCCACGTCCACGTCGACGTCCACGTCCACGTCCATGTCCACGTCCACGTCCACGTCCACGTCCATGTCCACGTCCATGTCCACGTCCACGTCCACGTCCACGTCCACGTCCACGTCCATGTCCACGTCCACGTCCATGTCCACGTCCACGTCCACGTCCACGTCCACGACCATGTCCACGTCCACGTCCACGTCCATGTCCATGACCATGTCCACGTCCAAGTCCACGTCCAAGTCCACGTCCACATCCACGTCCACGTCCATGTCCACGTCCACGTCTATGTCCACGTCCACGTCCACGTCCACGTCCATGTCCACGTCGACGTCCACGTCCACGTCCATGTCCACGTCGACGTCCACGTCCACGTCCATGTCCACGTCCACGTCCACGTCCACAGCCACGTCCACGTCAATGTCCACGTCCACGTCCATGTCCACGTCCACGTCCACGTCCACGTCCACGTCCATGTCCCCGTCCACGTCCCCGTCCACGTCCACGTCCACGTCCATGTCCACGACGTCCATGTCCATGTCCACGTCCACGTCCACGTCCATATCCACATCCATGTCCACGTCCATGTCCACGTCCACGTCCACGTCCACGTCCATGTCCACGTCCACGTCCACGTCCACGTCCACGTCCACGTCCATGTCCACGTCCACGTCCATGTCCACGTCCACATCCACGTCCACGTCCACGTCCACGTCCACGTCCACGACCACGTCCACGTCCACGTCCACGTCCATGACCATGTCCACGTCCATGTCCACGTCTATGTTCACGTCCACGTCCACGTCCACGTCCATGTCCACGTCCACGTCCACGTCCACGTCCACGTCCACGTCCACGTCCACGACCACGTCCACGTCCACGTCCATGACCATGTCCACGTCCATGTCCACGTCCATGTTCACGTCCACGACCACGTCCATGTCCATGTCCACGTCCACGTCCACGTCCACGTCCACGTCCATGTCCACGTCCACGTCCACGTCCATGTCCACGTCCACGTCCATGTCCACGTCCATGTCCACGTCCATGTCCACGTCCACGTCCACGTCCACGTCCATGTCCACGTCCACGTCCATGTCCATGTCCACGTCCACGTCCACGTCCACGTCCACGTCCATGTCCACGTCCATGTCCACGTCCATGTCCACGACCACGTCCACGTCGACGTTCATGTCCACGTCCACGTCCACGTCCACGTCCATGTCCACGTCCATGTCCACGTCCACGTCCACGTCCACGTCCACGTCCACGTCCACGTCCATGTCCACGTCCACGTCCATGTCCACGTCCACGTCCACGTCCACGTCCACGTCCACGACCATGTCCACGTCCACGTCCACGTCCATGTCCATGACCATGTCCACGTCCAAGTCCACGTCCAAATCTACGTCCACATCCACGTCCACGTCCATGTCCACGTCCACGTCTATGTCCACGTCCACGTCCATGTCCACGTCCATGTCCACGTCCACGTCCACGTCCACGTCCATGTCCACGTCCACGTCCACGTCTACGTCCATGTCCATGTCCACGTCCACGTCCACGTCCATGTCCACGTCCACGTCAACGGCCACGTCCACGTCAATGTCCACGTCCACGTCCATGTCCACGTCCACGTCCACGTCCATGTCCCCGTCCACGTCCCCGTCCACGTCCACGTCCACGTCCACGTCCATGTCCACGACGTCCATGTCCATGTCCACGTCCACGTCCACGTCCATATCCACATCCATGTCCACGTCCATGTCCACGTCCACGTGCACGTCCACATCCACGACCATGTCCACGTCCACGTCCACGTCCACGTCCACGTCCATGTCCATGTCCACGTCCACGTCCATGTACACGTCCACGTCCACATCCATGTCCACGTCCACGTCCACGTCCATGTCCACGTCCACGTCCACGTCCACGTCCACGTCCACGTCCAAGTCCACGACCATGTCCACGTCCACGTCCACATCCACGTCTACGACCATGTCCACGTCCACGACCACGTCCACGTCCACGTCCACGTCCACCTCCACGTCCACGACCATGTCCACGCCCACAACCACGTCGACGTCCACGTCCACGTCCATGTCCACGTCCACGTCCACATCCATGTCTACGTCCATGTCCACGTCCACGTCCACGTCCACGTCCATGTCCACGTCCATGTCCACGTCCACGTCCACGTCCATGTCCATGTCTATGTCCATGTCCATGTTCATGTCCACGTCCATGTCCATGTCCACGTCCACGACCACGTCCACGTCCACGTCCACGTTCATGTCCACGTCCACGTCCACGTCCACGACCATGTCCACGTCCACGACCACAGCCACGTCCACGTCCACGTCCACGTCCATGTCCACGTCCAAGTCTTCCACGTCCACGACCACGTCCACGTCCACATCCACGTCAACATCCACGTCCACGACCACGTCCACTTCCACGTCCACCTCCACGTCCACGACCATGTCCACGTCCACGACCACGTCCACGTCCACGTCCATGTCCACGTCCACGTCCACGTCCATGTCCACGTCCATGTCCACGTCCACATCCACGTCCACGTCCATGTCCACGTCCATGTCCACGTCCACGTCCACGTCCATGTCCACGTCCATGTCCATGTCCATGTCCACGTCCATGTCCATGTCCACGTCCATGACCACGTCCACGTCCACGTCCACGTCCATGTCCACGTCCACGTCCATGTCGACGTCCACGTCCACGTCCACGTCCACGACCACGTCCATGTCCACGTCCACGTCCACGTCCACGTCCACGACCACGTCCACGTCCACGTCCACGTCCATGTCCACGTCCAAGTCCACGTCCACGTCCACGTCCATGTCCACGTCCATGCTATGTCCACGTCCATGTCCACGTCCACGTCCACGTCCACGTCCACGTCCACGTCCATGTCCACGTCCACGTCCACGTCCATGTCCACGTCCACGTCCACGTCCATGTCCACGTCCACGTCCACGTCCACGTCCACGTCCAGTCCACGTCCACGTCCATGTCCACGTCCACGTGCACGTCCACGTCCATGCCCACGTCCACGTCCACGTCCACGTCCACGTCCATGTCCATGTCCACGTCCACGTCCACGTCCATATCCACGTCCATGTCCACGTCCATGTCCACGTCCATGTCCAGGTCCACGACCATGTCCAGGACCATGTCCATGTCCATGTCCACGTCCACGTCCATGTCCACGTCCACGTCCATGTCCACGTCCACGTCCACGTCCATGTCCATGTCCATGTCCACGTCCACGTCCATGTCCACGTCCACGTCCATGTCCATGTCCATGTCCACGTCCACGTCCATGTCCTCGTCCACGTCCATGTCCACGTCCACGTCCACGACCATGTCCATGTCCACGTCCACGTCCATGTCCACGTCCAAGTCCACGACCATGTCCATGTCCATGTCCACGTCCACGTCCATGTCCACGTCCACGTCCACGACCATGTCCATGTCCATGTCCACGTCCACGTCCATGTCCACGTCCACGTCCATGTCCACGTCCACGTCCACGTCCATGTCCATGTCCATGTCCACGTCCACGTCCACGTCCACGTCCACGTCTATGTCCACGTCCACGTCCACATCCACGTCCACGTCCACGACCATGTCCATGTCCACGTCCACGTCCATGTCCACGTCTAAGTCTTCCACGTCCACGACCACGTCCACGTCCACATCCACGGGAACATCCACGTCCACGACCACGTCCACGTCCACGTCCACGTCCACGTCAACGTCCACGACCATGTCCACGTCCACGTCCACGTCCACGTCCATGTCCACGTCCACGTCCACGTCCACGTCCATGTCCACGTCCACGTCCACGTCCACATCCACGTCCACGTCCATGTCCACGTCCATGTCCACGTCCACGTCCACGTCCATGTCCACGTCCATGTCCATGTCCATGTCCACGTCTATGTCTATGTCAACGTCCACGACCACGTCCAAGTCGACGTCCACGTCCATGTCCACGTCCACGTCCACGTCCATGTCCACGTCTACGTCCACGTCCACGTCCACGACCATGTCCACGTCCACGACCACGACAACGTCCACGTCCACCTCCACGTCCACTTCCACGTCCACGTCCACGTCCACGTCCACGTCCACTTCCACGTCCATGTCCACGTCCACGTCCACGTCCATGTCCACGTCCATTTCCACGACCATGTCCACGTCCACGACCACGTCCACATCCACGTCTACGACCACGTCCACGTCCACGACCACGTCCACTTCCACGACCACGTCCACGTCCACGTCCACGTCCATGTCCACGTCCACGTCCACGTCCACGTCCACGACCACGTCCATCTCCACGTCCACGTCCACGTCCACGTCCACGACCATGTCCACGTCCACGACCACGTCCACGTCCACGTCCACGTCCATGTACACGTCCAAGTCTTCCACGTCCACGACCACGTCCACGTCCACATCCACGTCAACATCCACGTCCACGACCATGTCCACGTCCACGTCCACGTCCACATCCACGTCCCCGACCATGTCCACGTCCACGACCACGTCCACGTCCACGTCCACGTCTATGTCCATGTCCACGTCCACGTCCATGTCCACGTCCACGTCCACGTCCACGTCCATGTCCACGTCCATGTCCATGTCCATGTCCACATCCATGTCCACGTCCACGTCCACGTCCACGTCCATGTCCACGTCCATGTCCACGTCCATGTCCATGTCCACGTCCACGACCACGACCACGTCCATGTCCACGTCCACGTCCACGTCCACGACCACGTCCATGTCCACGTCCACGTCCATGTCCAGGTCCATGTCCACGTCCACGTCCATGTCCATCTCCACGTCCACGTCCACGTCCACGTCCACGTCCACGACCACGTCCACGTCCACGTCCACGTCCATGTCCACGTCCACGTCCACGTCCATGACCACGTCCACGTCCACGTCCACGTCCACAACCACGTCCACGTCCACGTCCACGTTCACGTCCATGACCATGTCCACGTCCATGTCCACGTCCAAGTCCACGTCCACGTCCACGTCCACGTCCATGTCCACGTCCACGTCCACGTCTACGTCCACGTCCACGTCCATGTCCACGTCCACGTCCATGTCCACGTCCACGTCCACGTCCATGTCCACGTCCACGTCCACGTCCATGTCCACGTCCACGTCCATGTCCACGTCCACGTCCACGTCCATGTCCACGTCCACGTCCATGTCCACGTCAACGTCCACGTCCACGTCCACGACCACGTCCACGTCCACGTCCACAACCATGACCATGTCCACGTCCATGTCCACGTCCATGTTCACGTCCACGTCCACGTCCACGTCCATGTCCACGTCTACGTCCACGTCCACGTCCACGTCCATGTCCACGTCCACGTCCACGTCCATGTCCACGTCCACGTCCATGTCCACGTCCATGTCCACGTCCATGTCCACGTCCACGTCCACATCCATGTCCACGTCCATGTCCACGTCCACGTCCACGTCCACGTCCATGTCCACGTCCACGTCCACGTCCACGTCCACGTCCACGACCATGTCCATGTCCACGACCACGTCCACGTCCATGTCCACGTCCATGTCCACGTCCAAGTCTTCCACGACCACGTCCGCGTCCACGTCCACATCCACGTCAACATCCACGTCCACGACCATGTCCACGTCCACATCCACGTTCACGTCCACGTCCACGTCCACGACCATGTCCACGTCCACGTCTACGTCCACGTCCACGTCCATGTCCACGTCCACGTCCACGTCCACGTCCATGTCCACGTCCACGTCCATGTCCACGTCCACGTCCACGTCCACGTCCACGTCCACGTCCATGTCCACGTCCATGTCCATGTCCACGTCCACGACCACGTCCACGTCGACGTCCATGTCCACGTCCACGTCCACGTCCATGTCCACGTCCACGTCCACGTCCATGTCCACGTCCACGTCCACGTCCACGTCCACGTCCACGTCCATGTCCACGTCCACGTCCACGTCCACGTCCACGTCCACGTCCACGACCATGTCCATGTCCACGACCACGTCCACGTCCACGTCCATGTCCACGTCCAAGTCTTCCACGTCCACGACCACGTCCACGTCCACATCCACATCAACATCCACGTCCACGACCATGTCCACGTCCACATCCACGTCCACGTCCACGTCCACGTCCACGACCATGTCCACGTCCACGTCCATGTCCACGTCCATGTCCACGTCCACGTCCACGTCCATGTCCACGTCCACGTCCACATCCACGTCCACGTCCACGTCCATGTCCACGTCCACGTCCACGTCCACGTCCACGTCCACGTCCACGACCATGTCCATGTCCACGACCACATCCACGTCCACGTCCACGTCCATGTCCACGTCCAAGTCTTCCACGTCCACGACCACGTCCACGTCCACATCCACATCAACATCCACGTCCACGACCATGTCCACGTCCACATCCACGTCCACGTCCACGTCGACGTCCACGTCCACGTCCACGTCCATGTCCACGTCCACGTCCACGTCCATGTCCATGTCCACGTCCACGTCCATGTCCACGTCCATGTCCACGTCCACTTCCTTGTCCACGTCCATGTCCACGTCCATGTCCACGTCTACGTCCATGTCCACGTCCATGTCCACGTCCACGTCCACGTCCATGTCCATGTCCATGTCCACCTCCACATCCACGTCCACGTCCATGTCCACGTCCATGTCCACGTCCACGTCCATGTCTATGTCCACGTCCATGTCCACGTCCATGTCCACGTCCCTGTCCACGTCCACGTCCACGTCCACGTCCACGTCCATGTCCATGTCCACGACCATGTCCACGTCCACGTCCACGTCCACGACCACGTCCACGACTAGGTCCACGTTCAGGTCCACGTCCTCGACCACGTCCACGTCCACGTCCACGTCCACGTCCACGTCCATGTCCACGTCCACGTCCACGTCCACGTCCATGTCCATGTCCACGTCCATGTCCACGACCATGTCCACGTCCACGTCCACGTCCACGTCCACGACCACGTCCACGACTAGGTCCACGTCCAGGTCCACGTCCACGAGCACGTCCACGTCCAGGTCCACGTCCACGTCCACGTCCACGACCGTCCACGTCCACGTCCACGTCCACGTCCATGTCCACGTCCAAGTCCTCCACGTCCACGTCCACGTCCACGTCCATGTCCACGTCCAAGTCCTCCACGTCCACGTCCACGTCCATGTCCATGTCCACGTCCACGTCCATGTCCACGTCCACGTCTACGTCCACGTCCATGTCCACGTCCTCGTCCACGTCCACGTCCGCGTCCAGGTCCATGTCCACGTCCATGTCCACGTCCACGTCCATGTCCACGTCCATGTCCACGTCCATGTCCACGTCCACGTCCACGTCCACGTCCACGTCCACGTCCATGTCCACGTCCACGTCCATGTCCATGTCCACGTCCACGTCCATGTCCACGTCCATGTCCACGTCCATGTCTACGTCCACGTCCACGTCCATGTCCACGTCCACGTCCACGTCCACGTCCAGTTCCATGTCCACGTCCATGTCCACGTCCACGTCCATGTCCACGTCCATGTCCACGTCCACGTCCACGTCCATGTCTACGTCCACGTCCTCGTCCACGTCCAGGTCCATGTCCACGTCCAGGCCTCCACGTCCACGTCCATGTCCACGTCCACGTCCACATCCACGTCCATATCCACGTCCACGTCCATGTCCACGTCCACGTCCACGTCCACGTCCATGTCCATGTCCATGTCCACATCCACGTCCACGTCCATGTCCACGTCTACGTCCACGTCTACGTCCATGTCCATGTCCATGTCTACGTCCACGTCCATGTCCACGTCCACGTCCACTTTCACGTCCACGTCCACTTCCACGTCCACATCCACGTCCATGTCCACGGCCACGTCCATGTCCACATCCACGTCCACGTCCACGTCCACGTCCATCTCCATGTCCAAGTCCTCCACGTCCACGTCCTCGTCCACGTCCATGTCCACGTCCATGTCAACGTCCACGTCCACGTCCACGACCATGTCCACGTCTACGTCCACGACCATGTCCACGTCCACATCCACGTCCATGTCCACGTCCACGTCCACGTCCATGTCCACGTCCACGTCCATGTCCACGTCCACGTCCACGTCCACGTCCATGTCCACGTCCACGTCCACGTCCACGTCCATGTCCACGTCCATGTCCACGTCCACGTCAATGTCCACGTCTACGTCCACGTTCATGTCCATGTCCACGTCCACGTTCACGTCCATGTCCACGTCCACGTCCACGATCACGTCCACGTCCACGTCCATGTCCACGTCCACGTCCACGTCCACGTCCATGTCCACGTCCATGTCCACGTCCACGTCCATGTCCACGTCCACGTCCACGTCCACGTCCACATCCACGTCCACGTCCACGTCCACGTCCATGTCCAGGTCCACGTCCATGTCCACGTCCAAGATCACGTCCACGTCCATGTCCATGTCCACGTCCACGTCCACGTCCACGTCCATGTCCACGTCCACGTCCACGTCCACGTCCATGTCCACGTCCACGTCCACGTCCAGGTCCACGTCCACGACCAGATCCACGTCCACGTCCACGTCCATGTCCACGTCCACGTCCATGTCCAGGTCCACGTCCATGTCCACGTCCATGTCCACGTCCACGTCTACGTCCACGTCCACGTCCACGTCCATGTCCATGTCCACGTCCACGTCCATGTCCACGTCCATGTCCACGTCCACGTCCATGTCCACGTCCACGTCCACGTCCATGTCCACGTCCATGTCCACATCCACGTCCATGTCCACGTCCATGTCCACGTCCACGTCAACGTCCACGTCCACGTCCATGTCCACGTCCATCTCCACGTCCATGTCCACGTCCATATCCACGTCCACGTCCACGTGCACGTCTATATCCACGTCCAGGTCCACGACCATGTCCACGTCCACGTCCACGTCCATGTCCACGTCCATGTCCACGTCCACGTCCATGTCCACGTCCACGTCCATCACCCCGCCACATTTTCCCACTTTCCATCACCCCGCCCCCTTCTCTCTCCTTCCATCACCCCGCCCCATTCTCCCTCCTTCCATCACCCCGCCCCATTCTCCCGCTTTCCATCAGCCCGCCCCATTCTCCCGCTTTCCATCACCCCGCCCCTTTCTCCCACTTTCCATCTCCCCGCCCCATTCTCCCGCTTTCCATCACACTGCCCCATTCTCCCGCTTTCCATCACCCCGCCCCATTCTTCCGCTTCCCATCATCCCGCCCCATTCCCCCGCTTTCCATCACCCCTCCCCATTCTCCCTCCTTCCATCACCCCGCCCCATTCTCCCACTTTCCATCACCCGCCCCATTCTCCCGCTTTCCATCACCTCGCCCCACTCTCCCGCTTTCCATCACCCCGCCCCATTCTTCTGCATTCCATCACCCCGCCCCATTCTCCCGCTTTCCATCACCCTGCCCCATTCTCCCGCTTTCCATCACCCCGCCCCATTCTCCCACTTTCCATCACCCCGCCCCATTCTCCCGCTTTCCACCACCCCAGCCCATTCTCTCGCTTACCATCACCCCGCCCCCTTCTTCCTCCTTCCATCACCCCGCCCCATTCTCCCTCCTTCCTTCACTCCGCCCCATTCTCCCGCTTTCCATCACCCTGCCTCATTCTCCCGCTTTCCATCACCCCGCCCCATTCTCCCGCTTTTCCATCACCCCGCCCCATTCTCCCTCCTTCCATCACCCCGCCCCATTCTCCCGCTTTCCATCACTCCGCCCCATTCTCCCGCTTTCCATCACCCCGCCCCCTTCTCCCTCCTTCCATCACCCCGCCCCATTCTCCCGCTTTCCATCAGCCCGCCCCATTCTCCCGCTTTCCATCACCCCGCCCCTTTCTCCCGCTTTCCATCTCCGTGCCCCATTCTCCCGCTTTCCATCACCCCGCCCCATTCTCCCGCTTTCCATCACCCCGCCCCATTCTCCCGCTTCCCATCATCCCGCCCCATTCTCCCGCTTTCTATCACCCCGCCCCATTCTCCCTCCTTCCATCACCCCGCCCCATTCTCCCGCTTTCCATCACCCCGCCCCATTCTCCCGCTTTCCACCACCCCGCCCCCTTCTCCCTCCTTCCATCACCCCGCCCCATTCTCCCTCCTTCCATCACCCCGCCCCACTCTCCCGCTTTCCATCAGCCCGCCCCATTCTCCCGCTTTCCATCACCCCGCCCCTTTCTCCCGATTTCCATCTCCCTGCTCCATTCTCCCGCTTTCCATCACCCCGTCCCATTCTCCTGCTTTCTATCACCCCGCCCCATTCTCCCGCTTCCCATCATCCCGCCCCATTCCCCCGCTTTCCATCACCCCTCCCCATTCTCCCCTCTTCTATCACCCCGCCCCATTCTCCCGCTTTCCATCACCCCGCCCCATTCTCCCTCCTTCCATCACCCCGCCCCATTCTCCCTCCTTCCATCACCCCGCCCCATTCTCCCGCTTTCCATCACCCCGCCCCATTCTCCCGCTTTCCATCACCCCGCCCCTTTCTCCCGCTTTCCATCTCCGTGCCCCATTCTCCCGCTTTCCATCACCCCGCCCCATTCTCCCGCTTTCCATCACCCCGCCCCATTCTTCCGCTTCCCATCATCCCGCCCCATTCCCCCGCTTTCCATCACCCCTCCCCATTCTCCCTCCTTCCATCACCCCGCCCCATTCTCCCACTTTCCATCACCCGCCCCATTCTCCCGCTTTCCATCACCTCGCCCCACTCTCCCGCTTTCCATCACCTTGCCCCATTCTTCTGCTTTCCATCACCCCGCCCCATTCTCCCGCTTCCCATCATCCCGCCCCATTCCCCCGCTTTCCATCACCCCGCCCCATTCTCCCGCTTTCCATCAGCCCGCCCCATTCTCCCGCTTTCCATCACCCCGCCCCTTTCTCCCGCTTTCCATCTCCGTGCCCCATTCTCCCGCTTTCCATCACCCCGCCCCATTCTCCCGCTTTCCATCACCCCGCCCCATTCTCCCGCTTCCCATCATCCCGCCCCATTCTCCCGCTTTCTATCACCCCGCCCCATTCTCCCTCCTTCCATCACCCCGCCCCATTCTCCCGCTTTCCATCACCCCGCCCCATTCTCCCGCTTTCCACCACCCCGCCCCCTTCTCCCTCCTTCCATCACCCCGCCCCATTGTCCCTCCTTCCATCACCCCGCCCCACTCTCCCGCTTTCCATCAGCCCGCCCCATTCTCCCGCTTTCCATCACCCCGCCCCTTTCTCCCGATTTCCATCTCCCTGCTCCATTCTCCCGCTTTCCATCACCCCGTCCCATTCTCCTGCTTTCCATCACCCCGCCCCATTCTCCCGCTTCCCATCATCCCGCCCCATTCCCCCGCTTTCCATCACCCCTCCCCATTCTCCCCTCTTCTATCACCCCGCCCCATTCTCCCGCTTTCCATCACCCCGCCCCATTCTCCCTCCTTCCATCACCCCGCCCCATTCTCCCTCCTTCCATCACCCCGCCCCATTCTCCCGCTTTCCATCACCCCGCCCCATTCTCCCGCTTTCCATCACCCCGCCCCTTTCTCCCGCTTTCCATCTCCGTGCCCCATTCTCCCGCTTTCCATCACTCCGCCCCATTCTCCCGCTTTCCATCACCCCGCCCCATTCTCCCGCTTCCCATCATCCCGCCCCATTCTCCCGCTTTCTATCACCCCGCCCCATTCTCCCTCCTTCCATCACCCCGCCCCATTCTCCCGCTTTCCATCACCCCGCCCCATTCTCCCGCTTTCCACCACCCCGCCCCCTTCTCCCTCCTTCCATCACCCCGCCCCATTCTCCCTCCTTCCATCACCCCGCCCCATTCTCCCGCTTTCCATCAGCCCACCCCATTCTCCCGCTTTCCATCACCCCGCCCCTTTCTCCCGCTTTCCATCTCCCTGCTCCATTCTCCCGCTTTCCATCACCCCGTCCCATTCTCCCGCTTTCCATCACCCCGCCCCATTCTCCCGCTTCCCATCATCCCGCCCCATTCCCCCGCTTTCCATCACCCCTCCCCATTCTCCCCTCTTCCATCACCCCGCCCCATTCTCCCGCTTTCCATCACCCCGCCCCATTCTCCCTCCTTCCATCACCCCGCCCCATTCTCCCTCCTTCCATCACCCCGCCCCATTCTCCCGCTTTCCATCACCCCGCCCCATTCTCCCGCTTCCCAGAACCCCACCCCATTCTCCCGCTTTCCATCACCCCGCCACAGTATTCCACCTTCCATCAACCCGCCCCCTTCTCTCTCCTTCCATCACCCCGCCCCATTCTCCCTCCTTCCATCACCCCGCCCCATTCTCCCGCTTTCCATCGGCTCGCCCCATTCTCCCGCTTTCCATCACCCCTCCCCTTTCTCCCGCTTTCCATCTCCCCGCCCCATTCTCCCGCTTTCCATCACCCCGCCCCATTCTCCCGCTTTCCATCACCCCGCCCCATTCTTCCGCTTCCCATCATCCCGCCCCATTCCCCCGCTTTCCATCACCCCTCCCCATTCTCCCTCCTTCTATCACCCCGCCCCATTCTCTCACTTTCCATCACCCCGCCCCATTCTCCTGCTTTCCATCACCCCGACCCATTCTCCCGCTTTCCATCACCCCGCCCCATTCTGCCTCCTTCCATCACCCCGCCCCATTCTCCCGCTTTCCATCACCCCGCCCCATTCTCCCTCCTTCCATCACCCCGCCCCATTCTCCCTCATTCCATCACCCCGCTCCATTCTCCCGCTTTCCATCACCCCGCGCCATTCTCCCGCTTCCCATAACCCCACCCCATTCTCCCGCTTTCCATCACCCCGCCACATTTTCCCACTTTCCATCACCCCGCCCCCTTCTCTCTCCTTCCATCACCCCGCCTCATTCTACCTCCTTCCATCACCCCGCCCCATTCTCCCGCTTTCCATCAGCCCGCCCCATTCTCCCGCTTTCCATCACTCCGCCCCTTTCTCCCGCTTTCCATCTCCCCGCCCCATTCTCCCGCTTTCCATCAGACCGCCCCATTCTCCCGCTTTCCATCACCACGCCCCATTCTTCCGCTTCCCATCATCCCGCCCCATTCCCCCGCTTTCCATCACCCCTCCCCATTCTCCCTCCTTCCATCACCCCGCCCCTTTCTCCCGCTTTCCATCTCCCGCCCCATTCTCCCGCTTTCCATCACCCGCCCCATTCTCCCGCTTTCCATCACCTCGCCCCATTCTCCCGCTTTCCATCACCCCGCCCTATTCTTCTGCTTTCCATCATCCCGCCCCATTCTCCCGCTTTCCATCACCTCGCCCCACTCTCCCGCTTTCCATCACCCCGCTCCATTCTTCTGCTTTCCATCACCCCGCCCCATTCTCCCGCTTTCCATCACCCTGCCCCATTCTCCCGCTTTCCATCACCCCGCCCCATTCTCCCGCTTTCCATCACCCGCCCCATTCTCCCGCTTTCCATCACCCCGCCCCATTCTCCCGCTTTCCATCACCCCGCCCCATTCTCCTTCCTTCCATCACCCCGCCCCATTCTCCCGCTTTCCATCACCCCGCTCCATTCTCCCGCTTTCCATCACGCCGCCCCCTTCTCCCTTCTTCCATCACCCCGCCCCATTCTCCCTCCTTCCATCACCCCGCCCCATTCTTCCGCTTTTCATCACCCCGCCCCATTCTCCCGCTTTCCAACACCCCAGCCCATTCTCTCGCTTACCATCACCCCGCCCCCTTCTTCCTCCTTCCATCACCCCGCCCCATTCTCCCTCCTTCCTTCACCCCGCCCCATTCTCCCGCTTTCGATCACCCTGCCCCATTCTCCCGCTTTCCATCACCCCGCCCCATTCTCCCGCTTTTCCATCACCCCGCCCCATTCTCCCTCCTTCCATCACCCCGCCCCATTCTCCCGCTTTCCATCACCCCGCCCCATTCTCCCGCTGTCCATCACCCCGCCCCCTTCTCCCTCCTTCCATTACCCCGCCCCATTCTCCCGCTTTCAATCAGCCCGCCCCATTCTCCCGCTTTCCATCACCCCGCCCCTTTCTCCCGCTTTCCATCTCCGTGCCCCATTCTCCCGCTTTCCATCACCCCGCCCCATTCTCCCGCTTTCCATCACCCCGCCCCATTCTCCCGCTTCCCATCATCCCGCCCCATTCTCCCGCTTTCTATCACCCCGCCCCATTCTCCCTCCTTCCATCACCCCGCCCCATTCTCCCGCTTTCCATCACCCCGCCCCATTCTCCCGCTTTCCACCACCCCGCCCCATTCTCCCTCCTTCCATCACCCCGCCCCATTCTCCCTCCTTCCATCACCCCGCCCCATTCTCCCGCTTTCCATCAGCCCGCCCCATTCTCCCGCTTTCCATCACCCGGCCCCTTTCTCCCGCTTTCCATCTCCCTGCTCCATTCTCCCGCTTTCCATCACCCCGCCCCATTCTCCCGCTTCCCATCACCCCGCCCCATTCTCTTTCCTTCCATCACCCCGCCCCATTCTCCCGCTTTCCATCACCCCGCCCCATTCTCCCGCTTTCCATCACCCTGCCCCATTCTCCCGCTTCCCATCATCCCGCCCCATTCCCCCGCTTTCCATCACCCCTCCCCATTCTCCCCTCTTCCATCACCCCGCCCCATTCTCCTGCTTTCCATCACCCCGCCCCATTCTCCCTCCTTCCATCACCCCGCACCATTCTCCCTCCTTCCATCACCCCGCCCCATTCTCCCGCTTTCCATCACCCCGCGCTATTCTCCCGCCTTCCATCACCCGGCTCCATTCTCCCGCTTTCCATCACCCCGCCCCATTCCCCCGCTTCCCATAACCCCACCTCATTCTCCCGCTTTCCATCACCCCGCCACATTCTCCCGCTTTCCATCACCCCGCCCCATTCTCCTTCCTTCCATCACCGCGCCCCATTCTCCCGCTTTCCATCACCCCGCTCCATTCTCCCGCTTTCCATCACGCAGCCCCCTTCTCCCTTCTTCCATCACCCCGCCCCATTCTCCCTCCTTCCATCACCCCGCCCCATTCTCCCGCTTTCCATCAGCCCGCCCCTTTCTCCCGCTTTCCATCTCCCTGCCCCATTCTCCCACTTTCCATCAACCCGCCCCATTCTCCCGCTTTCCATCACCCCGCCCCATTCTCCCGCTTCCCATCATCCCGCCCCATTCCCCCGGTTTCCATCACCCCTCCCGATTCTCCCTCCTTCTATCACCCCGCCCCATTCTCCCGCTTTCCATTACCCGCCCCATTCTCCCGCTTTCCATCACCTCGCCCCATCTCCCGCTTTCCATCACCCCGCCCTATTCTTCTGCTTTCTATCACCCCGCCCCATTCTCCTGCTTTCCATCACCCCGCCCCATTCACCTGCTTTCCATCACCCCGCCCTATTCTTCTGCTTTCCATCACCCCACCCCATTCTCTCGCTTTCCATCACCCCGCACCCTTCTTCCTCCTTCCATCACCCGCCCCATTCTCCCGCTTTCCATCACCCCGCCCCATTCTCCCGCTTTCCATCACCCCGCTTCATTCTCCCGCTTTCCATCACCCCGCCACATTTTCCCACTTTCCATCACCCCGCCCCCTTCTCTCTCCTTCCATCACCCCGCCCCATTCTCCCTCCTTCCATCACCCCGCCCCATTCTCCCGCTTTCCATCAGCCCGCCCCATTCTCTCGCTTTCCATCACCCCTCCCCCTTCTTCCTCCTTCCATCACCCCGCCCCATTCTCCCTCCTTCCTTCACCCCGCCCCATTCTCCCGTTTTCCATCACCCTGCCCCATTCTCCCGCTTTCCATCACCCCGCCCCATTCTCCCGCTTTTCCATCACCCCGCCCCATTCTCCCTCCTTCCATCACCCCGCCCCATTCTCCCGCTTTCCATCACTCCGCCCCATTCTCCCGCTTTCCATCACCCCGCCCCCTTCTCCCTCCTTCCATCACCCCGCCCCATTCTCCCTCCTTCCATCACCCCGCCCCATTCTCCCGCTTTCCATCAGCCCGCCCCATTCTCCCGCTTTCCATCACCCCGCCCCTTTCTCCCGCTTTCCATCTCCGTGGCCCATTCTCCCGCTTTCCATCACCCCGCCCCATTCTCCCGCTTTCCATCCCCCCCCCCATTCTCCCGCTTCCCATCATCCCGCCCCATTCTCCCGCTTTCTATCACCCCGCCCCATTCTCCCTCCTTCCATCACCCCGCCCCATTCTCCCGCTTTCCATCACCCCGCCCCATTCTCCCGCTTTCCACCACCCCGCCCCCTTCTCCCTCCTTCCATCACCCCGCCCCATTCTCCCTCCTTCCATCACCCCGCCCCACTCTCCCGCTTTCCATCAGCCCGCCCCATTCTCCCGCTTTCCATCACCCCGCCCCTTTCTCCCGCTTTCCATCTCCCTGCTCCATTCTCCCGCTTTCCATCACCCCGTCCCATTCTCCCGCTTTCCATCACCCCGCCCCATTCTCCCGCTTCCCATCATCCCGCCCCATTCCCCCGCTTTCCATCACCCCTCCCCATTCTCCCCTCTTCTATCACCCCGCCCCATTCTCCCGCTTTCCATCACCCCGCCCCATTCTCCCTCCTTCCATCACCCCGCCCCATTCTCCCTCCTTCCATCACCCTGCCCCATTCTCCCGCTTTCCATCACCCCGCCCCATTCTCCCGCTTTCCATCACCCCGCCCCTTTCTCCCGCTTTCCATCTCCGTGCCCCATTCTCCCGCTTTCCATCACCCCGCCCCATTCTCCCGCTTTCCATCACCCCGCCCCATTCTCCCGCTTCCCATCATCCCGCCCCATTCTCCCGCTTTCTATCACCCCGCCCCATTCTCCCTCCTTCCATCACCCCGCCCCATTCTCCCGCTTTCCATCACCCCGCCCCATTCTCCCGCTTTCCACCACCCCGCCCCCTTCTCCCTCCTTCCATCACCCCGCCCCATTCTCCCTCCTTCCATCACCCCGCCCCATTCTCCCGCTTTCCATCAGCCCACCCCATTCTCCCGCTTTCCATCACCCCGCCCCTTTCTCCCGCTTTCCATCTCCCTGCTCCATTCTCCCGCTTTCCATCACCCCGTTCCATTCTCCCGCTTTCCATCACCCCGCCCCATTCTCCCGCTTCCCATCATCCCGCCCCATTCCCCCGCTTTCCATCACCCCTCCCCATTCTCCCCTCTTCCATCACCCCGCCCCATTCTCCTGCTTTCCATCACCCCGCCCCATTCTCCCTCCTTCCATCACCCCGCCCCATTCTCCCTCCTTCCATCACCCCGCCCCATTCTCCCGCTTTCCATCACCCCGCCCCATTCTCCCGCTTCCCAGAACCCCACCCCATTCTCCCGCTTTCCATCACCCCGCCACAGTATTCCACCTTTCATCAACCCGCCCCCTTCTCTCTCCTTCCATCACCCCGCCCCATTCTCCCTCCTTCCATCACCCCGCCCCATTCTCCCGCTTTCCATCAGCTCGCCCCATTCTCCCGCTTTCCATCACCCCTCCCCTTTCTCCTGCTTTCCATCTCCTCGCCCCATTCTCCCGCTTTCCATCACCCTGCCCCATTCTCCCGCTTTCCATCACCCCGCCCCATTCTTCCGCTTCCCATCATCCCGCCCCATTCCCCCGCTTTCCATCACCCCTCCCCATTCTCCCTCCTTCTATCACCCCGCCCCATTCTCTCACTTTCCATCACCCCGCCCCATTCTCCCGCTTTCCATCACCCCGACCCATTCTCCCGCTTTCCATCACCCCGCCCCATTCTGCCTCCTTCCATCACCCCGCCCCATTCTCCCGCTTACCATCACCCCGCCCCATTCTCCCTCCTTCCATCACCCCGCCCCATTCTCCCTCATTCCATCACCCCGCTCCATTCTCCCGCTTTCCATCACCCCGCGCCATTCTCCCGCTTCCCATAACCCCACCCCATTCTCCCGCTTTCCATCACCCCGCCACATTTTCCCACTTTCCATCACCCCGCCCCCTTCTCTCTCCTTCCATCACCCCGCCCCATTCTCCCTCCTTCCATCACCCCGCCCCATTCTCCCGCTTTCCATCACCCCGCCCCATTCTCCCGCTTTCCATCACCCCGCCCCTTTCTCCCGCTTTCCATCTCCCCGCCCCATTCTCCCACTTTCCATCAGACCGCCCCATTCTCCCGCTTTCCATCACCACGCCCCATTCTTTCGCTTCCCATCATCCCGCCCCATTCCCCCGCTTTCCATCACCCCTCCCCATTCTCCCTCCTTCCATCACCCCGCCCCTTTCTCCCGCTTTCCATCTCCCGCCCCATTCTCCCGCTTTCCATCACCCGCCCCATTCTCCCGCTTTCCATCACCTCGCCCCATTCTCCCGCTTTCCATCACCCCGCCCTATTCTTCTGCTTTCCATCACCCCGCCCCATTCTCCCGCTTTCCATCACCTCGCCCCACTCTCCCGCTTTCCATCACCCCGCTCCATTCTTCTGCTTTCCATCACCCCGCCCCATTCTCCCGCTTTCCATCACCCTGCCCCATTCTCCCGCTTTCCATCACCCCGCCCCATTCTCCCGCTTTCCATCACCCGCCCCATTCTCCCGCTTTCCATCACCCCGCCCCATTCTCCCGCTTTCCATCACCCCGCCCCATTCTCCTTCCTTCCATCACCCCGCCCCATTCTCCCGCTTTCCATCACCCCGCTCCATTCTCCCGCTTTCCATCACGCCGCCCCCTTCTCCCTTCTTCCATCACCCCGCCCCATTCTCCCTCCTTCCATCACCCCGCCCCATTCTTCCGCTTTTCATCACCCCGCCCCATTCTCCCGCTTTCCAACACCCCAGCCCATTCTCTCGCTTACCATCACCCCGCCCCCTTCTTCCTCCTTCCATCACCCCGCCCCATTCTCCCTCCTTCCTTCACCCCGCCCCATTCTCCCGCTTTCCATCACTCTTCCCCATTCTCCCGCTTTCCATCACCCCGCCCCATTCTCCCGCTTTTCCATCACCCCGCCTTATTCTCCCTCCTTCCATCACCCCGCCCCATTCTCCCGCTTTCCATCACCCCGCCCCATTCTCCCGCTGTCCATCACCCCGCCCCCTTCTCCCTCCTTCCATTACCCCGCCCCATTCTCCCGCTTTCCATCAGCCCGCCCCATTCTCCCGCTTTCCATCACCCCGCCCCTTTCTCCCGCTTTCCATCTCCGTGCCCCATTCTCCCGCTTTCCATCACCCCGCCCCATTCTCCCGCTTTCCATCACCCCGCCCCATTCTCCCGCTTCCCATCATCCCGCCCCATTCTCCCGCTTTCTATCACCCCGCCCCATTCTCCCTCCTTCCATCACCCCGCCCCATTCTCCCGCTTTCCATCACCCCGCCTTATTCTCCCGCTTTCCACCACCCCGCCCCATTCTCCCTCCTTCCATCACCCCGCCCCATTCTCCCTCCTTCCATCACCCCGCCCCATTCTCCCGCTTTCCATCAGCCCGCCCCATTCTCCCGCTTTCCATCACCCCGCCCCTTTCTCCCGCTTTCCATCTCCCTGCTCCATTCTCCCGCTTTCCATCACCCCGCCCCATTCTCCCGCTTCCCATCACCCCGCTCCATTCTCCCTCCTTCCATCACCCCGCCCCATTCTCCCGCTTTCCATCACCCCGCCCCATTCTCCCGCTTTCCATCACCCCGCCCCATTCTCCCGCTTCCCATCATCCCGCCCCATTCCCCCGCTTTCCATCACCCCTCCCCATTCTCCCCTCTTCCATCACCCCGCCCCATTCTCCTGCTTTCCATCACCCCGCCCCATTCTCCCTCCTTCCATCACCCCGCCCCATTTTCCCTCCTTCCATCACCCCGCCCCATTCTCCCGCTTTCCATCACCCCACCCCATTCTCCCGCTTTCCATCACCCCGCCACAGTCTTCCACCTTCCATCAACCCGCCCCCTTCTCTCTCCTTCCATCACCCCGCCCCATTCTCCCTCCTTCCATCACCCCGCCCCATTCTCCCGCTTTCCATCAGCTCGCCCCATTCTCCCGCTTTCCATCACCCCTCCCCTTTCTCCCGCTTTCCATCTCCCCGCCCCATTCTCCCGCTTTCCATCAGCCCGCCCCATTCTCCCGCTTTCCATCACCCCGCCCCTTTCTCCCGCTTTCCATCTCCGTGCCCCATTCTCCCGCTTTCCATCACCCCGCCCCATTCTCCCGCTTTCCATCACCCCGCCCCATTCTCCCGCTTCCCATCATCCCGCCCCATTCTCCCGCTTTCTATCACCCCGCCCCATTCTCCCTCCTTCCATCACCCCGCCCCATTCTCCCGCTTTCCATCACCCCGCCTTATTCTCCCGCTTTCCACCACCCCGCCCCATTCTCCCTCCTTCCATCACCCCGCCCCATTCTCCCTCCTTCCATCACCCCGCCCCATTCTCCCGCTTTCCATCAGCTCGCCCCATTCTCCCGCTTTCCATCACCCCGCCCCTTTCTCCCGCTTTCCATCTCCCTGCTCCATTCTCCCGCTTTCCATCACCCCGCCCCATTCTCCCGCTTCCCATCACCCCGCTCCATTCTCCCTCCTTCCATCACCCCGCCCCATTCTCCCGCTTTCCATCACCCCGCCCCATTCTCCCGCTTTCCATCACCCCGCCCCATTCTCCCGCTTCCCATCATCCCGCCCCATTCCCCCGCTTTCCATCACCCCTCCCCATTCTCCCCTCTTCCATCACCCCGCCCCATTCTCCTGCTTTCCATCACCCCGCCCCATTCTCCCTCCTTCCATCACCCCGCCCCATTTTCCCTCCTTCCATCACCCCGCCCCATTCTCCCGCTTTCCATCACCCCACCCCATTCTCCCGCTTTCCATCACCCCGCCACAGTCTTCCACCTTCCATCAACCCGCCCCCTTCTCTCTCCTTCCATCACCCCGCCCCATTCTCCCTCCTTCCATCACCCCGCCCCATTCTCCCGCTTTCCATCAGCTCGCCCCATTCTCCCGCTTTCCATCACCCCTCCCCTTTCTCCCGCTTTCCATCTCCCCGCCCCATTCTCCCGCTTTCCATCACCCCGCCCCATTCTCGGGGTGATGGAAAGCGGGAGAATAAGGCGTGGTGATGGAAAGCGGGAGAATGGGGTGGGGTGATGGAAGGAGGGGGAATGGGGCGGGGTGATGGAAAGCGGGAGAATGGAGCAGGGTGATGGAAAGCGGGAGAATGGGGCGGGGTGATGGAAAGCGGGAGAATGGGGCGGGGTGATGGATAGCGGGAGAATGGGGCGGGGTGATGGAAAGCGGGAGAATGGGGCGGGGTGATGGAAGGAGGGGGAATGGGGCGGGGTGATGGAAAGCGGGAGAATGGAGCAGGGTGATGGAAAGCGGGAGAATGGGGCGGGGTGATGGAAAGCGGGAGAATGGGGCGGGGTGATGGATAGCGGGAGAATGGGGCGGGGTGATGGAAAGCGGGAGAATCGGGCGAGGTGATGGAAAGCGGGAGAATGGGGTGGGGTGATGGAAAGAAGGAGAATGGGACGGGGTGATGGAAAGTTGGAGAATGGGGCGTGGTGATGGAAAGCGGGAGAATGGGACGGGGTGATGGAAAGCGGGAGAATGGGGCAGGGTGATGGAAAGCGGGAGAATGGGGCGGGGTAATGGAAGGAGGGAGAATGGGGCGGGGTCATGGAAGGAGGGAGAATGGGGCAGGGTGATGGAAAGCACGAGAATGGGGAGGGGTGATGGAAAGCGGGAGAATGGGGCGGGGTGATGGAAAGCGGGAGAATGGGGCGGGGTGATGGAAAGCGGGAGAATGGGGCGGGGTGATGGAAAGTGGGGGAATGGGGCGGGGTGATGGATAGCGGGAGAATGGGGCGGGGTGACGGAAAGCGGGAAAATGGGGCGGGGTGATGGAAAGCAGGAGAATGGGGCTGGGTGATGAAATGCGGAAGAATGGGGCGGGGTGATGGAAAGCAGGAGAATGGGGCGGGGTGATGGAAGGAGGGAGAATGGGGCGAGGTGATGGAAGAAGGGAGAATGGGGCGGGGTGATGGAAAGCGGGAGAATGGGGCGGGGTGATGGAAAGCGGGAGAATGGGGCGGGGTGATGGAAAGCGGGAGAATAAGGCGTGGTGATGGAAAGCGGGAGAATTGGGCGGGGTGATGGAAAGCGGGAGAATGGGGCGGGGTGATGGAAGGAGGGGGAATGGGACGGGGTGATGGAAAGCAGGAGAATGGTGCGGAGTGATGGAAAGCGGGAGAATGGGGCGGGGTGATGGAAAGCGGGAGAATGGGGCGGGGTGATGGATAGCGGGAGAATGGGGCGGGGTGATGGAAAGCGGGAGAATGGGGAGGGGTGATGGAAAGTGGGGGAATGGGGCGGGGTGATGGATAGCGGGAGAATGGGGCGGGGTGACGGAAAGCAGGAAAATGGGGCGAGGTGATGGAAAGTGGGAGAATGGGGCTGGGTGATGGAATGCGGAAGAATAGGGCGGGGTGATGGAAGGCAGGAGAATGGGGTGGGGTGATGGGAGGAAGAATGGGGCGGGGTGATGGAAGGAGGGAGAATGGGGCGGGGTGATGGAAAGCGGGAGAATGGGGCGGGGTGATGGAAAGCAGGAGAATGGGGCGGGGTGATGGAAAGCGGGAGAATGGGCCGGGGTGATGGAAGGAGGGAGAATGGGGCAGGGTGATGGAAGGAGGGAGAATGGGGCGGGGTGATGGAAAGCGGGAGAATGGGGCGGGGTGATGCAAAGTGGGAGAATGGGGTGGGGCGATGGAAAGCGGGAGAATGGGGCGTGGTGATGGAAGGAGGGAGAATGGGTCGGGGTGATGGAAGGAGGGAGAATGGGGCGGGGTGATGGAAGGAGGGAGAATGGGGAGGGGTGATGGAAAGTGGGAGAATGGGGCGGGTGATGGAAAGCGAGAGAATGGGGCGGGGTGATGGAAAGCGGGAGAATGGGGCGGGGTGATGGAAAGCGGGAGAATGGGGTGGGGTGATGGAAAGCGGGAGAATGGGGCGGGGTGATGGAAAGCGGAAGAATGGGGCGGGGTGATGGAAAGCGGGAGAATGGGGCGGGGTGATGGAAAGCGGGAGAATGAGGCGGGGTGATGGAAAGCGGGAGAATGGGGCGACGTGATGGGAGGAGGGAGAATGGGGCGGGATGATGGAAAGCGGGAGAATGGGGCGGGATGATGGAAAGCGGGAGAATGGGGCAAGGTGATGGAGAGCGGGAAAATGGGGCGGGGTGATGAAGAGCGGGAGAATGGGGCGGGGTGATGGAAAGCGAGAGAATGGGGCGGGGTGATGGAAAGTGGGAGAATGGGGCGGGGTGATGGAAAGCGGGAGAATGGGGCGGGGTGGCGGAAAGCGGGAGAATGGGGCGGGGTGATGGAAAGCGCGAGAATGGGGCGGGGTGATGGAAAGCGGGAGAATGGGGCGGGGTGATGGAAAGCGGGAGAATGGGGCGGGGTGATGGAAAGAGGGAGAATGGGGCGGGGTGATGGAAAGCGGGAGAATGGGGCGGGGTGATGGAAAGCGGGAGAATGGGGCGGGGTGATGGAAAGCGGGAGAATGGGGCGGGGTGATGGAAAGCGGGAGAATGGGGCGGGGTGATGGAAAGCGGGAGAATGAGGCGGGGTGATGGAAAGCGGGAGAATGGGGCGACGTGATGGGAGGAGGGAGAATGGGGCGGGATGATGGAAAGCAGGAGAATGGGGCGGGATGATGGAAAGCGGGAGAATGGGGCAAGGTGATGGAGAGCGGGAAAATGGGGCGGGGTGATTGAGAGCGGGAGAATGGGGCGGGGTGATGGAAAGCGAGAGAATGGGGCGGGGTGATGGAAAGTGGGAGAATGGGGCGGGGTGATGGAAAGCGGGAGAATGGGGCGGGGTGATGGAAAGCGGAAGAATGGGGCGGGGTGATGGAAAGCGGGAGAATGGGGCGGGGTGATGGAAAGCGGGAGAATGGGGCGAGGTGATGGAAAGCGGGAGAATGGGGCGACGTGATGGGAGGAGGGAGAATGGGGCGGGATGATGGAAAGCGGGAGAATGGGGCGGGATGATGGAAAGCGGGAGAACGGGGCAAGGTGATGGAGAGCGGGAAAATGGGGTGGGGTGATTGAGAGCGGGAGAATGGGGCGGGGTGATGGAAAGCGGGAGAATGGGGCGGGGTGATGGAAAGCGGGAGAATGGGGCGGGGTGATGGAAAGCGGGAGAATGGGGCGGGGTGATGGAAAGCGGGAGAATGGGGCGGGGTGATGGAAAGCGGGAGAATGGGGCGGGGTGATGGAAAGCGGGAGAATGGGGCGGGGTGATGGAGAGCGGGAGAATGGGGCGGGGTGATGGAAAGCGAGAGAATGGGGCGGGGTGATGGAAAGTGGGAGAATGGGGCGGGGTAATGGAAAGCGGGAGAATGGGGCGGGGTGACGGAAAGCGGGAGAATGGGGCGGGGTGATGGAAAGCGGGAGAATGGGGCGGGGTGATGGAAAGCGGGAGAATGGGGCGGGGTGATGGAAAGCGGGAGAATGGGGCGGGGTTATGGAAAGAGGGAGAATGGGGCGGGGTGATGGAAAGCGGGAGAATGGGGCGGGGTGATGGAAAGCGGGAGAATGGGGCGGGGTGATGGAAAGCGGGAGAATGGGGCGGGGTGATGGAAAGCGGGAGAATGGGGCGGGGTTATGGAAAGAGGGAGAATGGGGCGGGGTGATGGAAAGCGGGAGAATGGGGCGGGGTGATGGAAAGCGGGAGAATGGGGCGGGGTGATGGAAAGCGGGAGAATGGGGCGGGGTCATGGAAAGAGGGAGAATGGGGCGGGGTGATGGAAAGCAGGAGAATGGGGTGGGGTGATGGAATGAGGGAGAATGGGGCGGGGTGATGGAAAGTGGGAGAATGGGGCGGGGTGATGGAAAGCGGGAGAATGGGGCGGGGTGATGGAAAGCGGGAGAATGGGGCGGGGTGATGGAAAGCGGGAGAATGGGGCGGGGTGATGGAAAGCGGGAGAATGGGGCGGGGTGATGGAAAGCGGGAGAATGGGGCGAGGTGATGGAAAGCGGGAGAATGGGGCGGGGTGATGGAAAGCGGGAGAATGGGGCGGGGTGATGGAAAGCGGGAGAATGGGGCGGGGTGATGGAAAGCGGGAGAATGGGGCGGGGTGATGGAAAGCGGGAGAATGGGGCGAGGTGATGGAAAGCGGGAGAATGAGGTGGGGTGATGGAAAGCGGGAGAATGGGGCGACGTGATAGGAGGAGGGAGAATGGGGCGGGATGATGGAAAGCGGGAGAATGGGGCGGGATGATGGAAAGCGGGAGAATGGGGCAAGCTGATGGAGAGCGGGAAAATGGGGCGGGGTGATGGAGAGCGGGAGAATGGGGCGGGGTGATGGAAAGCGAGAGAATGGGGCGGGGTGATGGAAAGTGGGAGAATGGGGCGGGGTAATGGAAAGCGGGAGAATGGGGCGGGGTGACGGAAAGCGGGAGAATGGGGCGGGGTGATGGAAAGCGGGAGAATGGGGCGGGGTGATGGAAAGCGGGAGAATGGGGCGGGGTGATGGAAAGCGGGAGAATGGGGCGGGGTTATGGAAAGAGGGAGAATGGGGCGGGGTGATGGAAAGCGGGAGAATGGGGCGGGGTGATGGAAAGCGGGAGAATGGGGCGGGGTGATGGAAAGCGGGAGAATGGGGCGGGGTGATGGAAAGAGGGAGAATGGGGCGGGGTGATGGAAAGCAGGAGAATGGGGTGGGGTGATGGAATGAGGGAGAATGGGGCGGGGTGATGGAAAGTGGGAGAATGGGGCGGGGTGATGGAAAGCGGGAGAATGGGGCGGGGTGATGGAAAGCGGGAGAATGGGGCGGGGTGATGGAAAGCGGGAGAATGGGGCGGGGTGATGGAAAGCGGGAGAATGGGGCGAGGTGATGGAAAGCGGGAGAATGAGGCGGGGTGATGGAAAGCGGGAGAATGGGGCGACGTGATAGGAGGAGGGAGAATGGGGCGGGATGATGGAAAGCGGGAGAATGGGGCGGGATGATGGAAAGCGGGAGAATGGGGCAAGGTGATGGAGAGCGGGAAAATGGGGCGGGGTGATGGAGAGCGGGAGAATGGGGCGGGGTGATGGAAAGCGAGAGAATGGGGCGGGGTGATGGAAAGTGGGAGAATGGGGCGGGGTAATGGAAAGCGGGAGAATGGGGCGGGGTGACGGAAAGCAGGAGAATGGGGCGGGGTGATGGAAAGCGGGAGAATGGGGCGGGGTGATGGAAAGCGGGAGAATGGGGCGGGGTGATGGAAAGCGGGAGAATGGGGCGGGGTTATGGAAAGAGGGAGAATGGGGCGGGGTGATGGAAAGCGGGAGAATGGGGCGGGGTGATGGAAAGCGGGAGAATGGGGCGGGGTGATGGAAAGCGGGAGAATGGGGCGGGGTGATGGAAAGAGGGAGAATGGGGCGGGGTGATGGAAAGCAGGAGAATGGGGTGGGGTGATGGAATGAGGGAGAATGGGGCGGGGTGATGGAAAGTGGGAGAATGGGGCGGGGTGATGGAAAGCGGGAGAATGGGGCGGGGTGATGGAAAGCGGGAGAATGGGGCGGGTTGATGGAAAGCGGGAGAATGGGGCGGGGTGATGGAAAGCGGGAGAATGGGGCGAGGTGATGGAAAGCGGGAGAATGAGGCGGGGTGATGGAAAGCGGGAGAATGGGGCGACGTGATAGGAGGAGGGAGAATGGGGCGGGATGATGGAAAGCGGGAGAATGGGGCGGGATGATGGAAAGCGGGAGAATGGGGCAAGGTGATGGAGAGCGGGAAAATGGGGCGGGGTGATGGAGAGCGGGAGAATGGGGCGGGGTGATGGAAAGCGAGAGAATGGGGCGGGGTGATGGAAAGTGGGAGAATGGGGCGGGGTAATGGAAAGCGGGAGAATGGGGCGGGGTGACGGAAAGCGGGAGAATGGGGCGGGGTGATGGAAAGCGGGAGAATGGGGCGGGGTGATGGAAAGCGGGAGAATGGGGCGGGGTGATGGAAAGCGGGAGAATGGGGCGGGGTTATGGAAAGAGGGAGAATGGGGCGGGGTGATGGAAAGCAGGAGAATGGGGTGGGGTGATGGAATGAGGGAGAATGGGGCGGGGTGATGGAAAGTGGGAGAATGGGGCGGGGTGATGGAAAGCGGGAGAATGGGGCGGGGTGATGGAAAGCGGGAGAATGGGGCGGGGTGATGGAAAGCGGGAGAATGGGGCGGGGTTTCTCCCGCTTTCCATCACCCCGCCCCATTCTCCCGCTTTCCATCACCCCGCCCCATTCTCCCGCTTTCCATCACCCCGCCCCCTTCTCCCTCCTTCCACCACCCCGCCCCATTCTCCCTCCTTCCATCACCCTGCCCCATTCTCCCGCTTTCCATCAGCCCGCCCCATTCTCCAGCTTTCCATCAACTTGCCCCTTTCTCCCGCTTTCCATCTCCCCGCCCCATTCTCCCGCTTTCCATCACCCAGCCCCATTCTCCCGCTTTCCATCACCCCGCCCCATCTTCGCGCTTTCCATCACCCTGCCCCAATCTCCCGCTTTCCATCACCCTGCCCCAATCTTCCGCTTTCCATCACCCCGCCCCATTCTCCCTCCTTCCATCACCCCGCCCCATTCTCCCGCTTTCCATCACCCCGCCCCATTCTCCCGCTTTCCATCACCCCGCCCCATTCTCCCGCTTTCCATCACCCCGCCCCATTCTCCCGCTTTCCATCACCCCGCCCCATTCTCCCTCCTTCCATCACCCCGCCCCATTCTCCCGCTTTCTATCATCCCGCCCCATTCTCCCTCCTTCCATCACCCCGCCCCATTCTCCCTCCTTCCATCACCCCGCCCCATTCTTCCGCTTTCCATCACCCGCCCCATTCTCCCGCTTTCCATCACCCCGCACCATTCTCCCTCCTTCCATCACCCCGCCCCATTCTCCCGCTTTCCATCATCCCGCCCCATTCTCCCTCTTTCCATCATCCGCCCCATTCTCCCTCCTTCCATCACCCCGCCCCATTCTCCAACTTTCCATCACCCCGTCCCATTCTCCTTCCTTCCATCACCCCGCCCCATTCTCCCTCCTTCCATCACCCCGCCCCATTCTCCCGCTTTCCATCAGCCCGCCCCATTCTCCCACTTTCCATCACACCGCCCCATTCTCCCGCTTTCCATCACCCCGCCCCATTCTCCCGCTTTCCATCACCCTGCCCCATTCTCCCGCTTTCCATCACCCCGCCCCCTTCTCCCTCCTTCCATCACCCCGCCCCATTCTCCCTCCTTCCATCACCCCGCCCCATTCTCCCGCTTTCCATCACCCCGCCCTATTCTCCCGCTTTCCATCACCCCGCCCCCTTCTCCCTCCTTCCATCACCCCACCCCATTCTCCCTCCTTTTTATCACCCCGCCCCATTCTCCCGCTTTCCATCATCCCGCCCCATTCTCCCGCTTTCCATCACCCCGCCCCATTTTCCCGCTTTCCATCACCCTGCCCCAATCTCCCGCTTTCCATCACCCTGCCCCAATCTTCCGCTTTCCATCACCCCGCCCCATTCTCCCTCCTTCCATCACCCCGCCCCATTCTCCCGCTTTCCATCACCTCGCCCCATTCTCCCGCTTTCCATCACCCCGCCCCATTCTCCCGCTTTCCATCACCCCGCCCCATTCTCCCGCTTTCCATCACCCCGCCCCATTCTCCCTCCTTCCATCACCCCGCCCTATTCTCCCGCTTTCCATCATCCCGCCCCATTCTCCCGCTTCCCATAACCCCACCCCATTCTCCCGCTTTCCATCACCCCGCCACATTCTCCGGCTTTCCATCACCCCGTCCCATTCTCCTTCCTTCCATCACCCCGCCCCATTCTCCCTCCTTCCAGCACCCCGCCCCATTCTCCCGCTTTCCATCAGCCCGCCCCATTCTCCCACTTTCCATCACCCCGCCCCATTCTCCCGCTTTCCATCACCCCGCCCCATTCTCCCGCTTTCCATCACCCCGCCCCATTCTCCCGCTTTCCATCACCCCGCCCCGTTCTCCCTCCTTCCATCACCCCGCCCCATTCTCCCTCCTTCCATCACCCCGCCCCATTCTCCCGCTTTCCATCAGCCCGCCCCATTCTCCCGCTTTCCATCACCCCTCCCCTTTCTCCTGCTTTCCATCTCCCCGCCCCATTCTCCCGCTTTCCATCACCCCGCCCCATTCTCCCGCTTTCCATCACCCCGCCCCATTCTTCCGCTTCCCATCGTCCCGCCCCATTCCCCCGCTTTCCATCACCCCTCCCCATTCTCCCTCCTTCCATCACCCTGCCCCATTCTCTCGCTTTCCATCACCCCGCCCCATTCTCCCGCTTTCCATCACCCCGCCCCATTCTCCCGCTTTCCAATCACCCCGCCCCATTCTCCCTCCTTCCATCACCCCGCCCCATTCTCCCGCTTTCCATCACCCCGCCCCATTCTCCTTTCTTCCATCACCCCGCCCCATTCTCCCTCATTCCATTACCCCGCCCCATTTTCCCGCTTTCCATCACCCTGCCCCATTCTCCCGCTTCCCATAACCCCGCCCCATTCTTCCGCTTTCCATCACCCCGCCCCCTTCTCTCTCCTTCCATCACCCCGCCCCATTCTCCTTCCTTCCATCACCCCGCCCCATTCTCCCGCTTTCCATCAGCCCGCCCCATTCTCCCGCTTTCCATCACCCCGCCCCTTTCTCCCGCTTTCCATCTCCCCGCCCCATTCTCCTGCTTTCCATCACCCCGCCCCATTCTCCCGCTTTCCATCACCCCGCCCCATTCTTCCGCTTCCCATCATCCCGCCCCATTCCACCGCTTTCCATCACCCCTCCCCATTCTCCCTCCTTCCATCACCCCGCCCCATTCTTCCGCTTTCCATGACCCGCCCCCTTCTCCCGCTTTCCATCACCTCGCCCCATTCTCCCGCTTTCCATCACCCCTCCCCATTCTTTTGCTTTCCATCACCCCGCCCCATTCTCCAGCTTTCCATCACCCTGCCCCATTCACCCGCTTTCCATCACCCGCCCCATTCTCCCGCTTTCCATCACCCCGCCCCATTCTCCCGCTTCCCATAACCCCGCCCCATTCTTCCGCTTTCCATCACCCCGCCCCCTTCTCTCTCCTTCCATCACCCCGCCCCATTCTCCTTCCTTCCATCACCCCGCCCCATTCTCCCGCTTTCCATCAGCCCGCCCCATTCTCCCGCTTTCCATCACCCCGCCCCATTCTCCCGCTTTCCATCACCCCGCCCCATTCTCCCGCTTTCCATCACTCCGACCCATTCTCCCGCTTTCCATCACCCCGACCCATTCTCCCACTTTCCATCACCCCGCCCCATTCTCCCTCCTTCCATCACCCTGCCTCATTCTCCCTCCTTCCATCACCCCGCCCCATTCTCCCGCTTTCCATCACCTCGCCCCATTCTCCCGCTTTCCATCACCCAGCCCCATTCTCCCGCTTTCCATTACCCTGCCCCATTTTCCCGCTTTCCATCACCCCGCCCCATTCTCCCGCTTTCCATCACCCTGCCCCAATCTCCCGCTTTCCATCACCCCGCCCCATTCTCCCTCCTTCCATCACCCCGCCCCATTCTCCCGCTTTCCATCACCCCGCCCCATTCTCTTGCTTTCCATCACCCAGCCCCATTCTCCCGCTTTCCATCACCCCGCCCCATTCTCCCGCTTTCCATCACCCCACCCCATTCTCCCTCCTTCCATCACCACGGCCCATTCTCCCACCTTCCATCACCCCGCCCCATTCTCCCGCTTTCCATCACCCCGCCCCATTCTCCCTCCTTCCATCACCCTGCCCCATTCTCCCTCCTTCCATCACCCCGCCCCATTCTCCCGCTTTCCATCACCCCGCCCCATTCTCCCGCTTCCCATAACCCCACCCCATTCTCCCGCTTTCCATCACCCCGCCACATTCTCCCGCTTTCTATCACCCCGCCCCATTCTCCCTCCTTCCATCACCCCGCCCCATTCTCCCGCTTTCCATCACCCCGCCTCATTCTCCCGATTTCCATCACCCCGCCCCATTCTCCCGCTTTCGATCACCCCGCCCCATTCTCCCGCTTTCCATCACCCCGCCCCATTCTCCCGCTTTCCATCATCCCGCCCCATTCTCCCTCCTTCCATCACCCCGCCCCATTCTTCCGCTTCCCATCATCCCGCCCCATTCCCCCGCTTTCCATCACCCCTCCCAATTCTCCCTCCTTCCATCACCCCGCCCCATTCTCCTGCTTTCAATCACCCCGCCTCATTCTCCCGCTTCCCATAACCCCACCCCATTCTCCCGCTTTCCATCACCCCGCCACATTCTCCCACTTTCCATCACCCCGCCCCCTTCTCTCTCCTTCCATCACCCCGCCCCATTCTCCCGCTTTCCATCACCCCGCCCCATTCTCCCGCTTTCCATCACCCCGCCCCATTCTCCCTCTTTCAATCACCCCGCCCCATTCTCTTGCTTTCCATCACCCCACCCCGTTCTCCCGCTTTCCATCACCCCGCCCCATTTTCCCGCTTTCCATCACCCCGCCCCATTCTCCTGCATTCCATCACCCCGCCCCATTCTCCCTCATTCCATCACCCCGCCCCATTCTCTCGCTTTCTATCACCCCACCCCATTCTCCCGCTTTTCATCACCCCGCCCCATTCTCCCACTTTCCATCACCCTGTCCCATTCTCCCTCTTTCCATCACCCCGCTCCATTCTCCCGCTTTCCATCACCCCGCCCTATTCTCCCTCTTTCCATCACCCCTCCCTATTCTCCCTCTTTCCATCACCCCGCCCTATTCTCCCGCTTTCCATCACCCCGCCCCATTCTCCCGCTTTCCATCACCCCGCCCCATTCTCCCGCTTTCCATCACGCCGCCCCATTCTCCCGCTTTGCATCACCCCGCCCCATTCTCCTGCTTTCCATCACCCCGCCCCATTCTCCCGCTTTCCATCACCCCGCCCCATTCTCCCGCTTTCCATCACCCCGCCCCATTCTCCCGCTTTCCATCACCCCGCCCCATTCTCCCGCTTTCCATCACCCCGCCCCATTCTCCTGCTTTCCATCACCCCGCCCCATTCTCCCGCTTTCCATCACCCCGCCCCATTCTCCAGCTTTCCATCACCCCGCCCCATTCTCCCTCCTTCCATCACCCCGCCCCATTCTCCCGCTTTCTATCACCCCGCCCCATTCTCCCTCCTTCCATCACCCCGCCCCATTCTCCCTCCTTCCATCACCCCGCCCCATTCTCCCGCTTTCCATCACCCCGCCCCATTCTCCCGCTTCCCATAACCCCACCCCATTCTCCCGCTTTCCATCACCCCGCCACATTCTCCCGCTTTCCATCACCCCGCCCCATTCTCCTTCCTTCCATCACCCCGCCCCATTCTCCCTCCTTCCATCACCCCGCCCCATTCTCCCGCTTTCCATCAGCCCGCCCCATTCTCCCGCTTTCCATCAGCCCGCCCCATTCTCCCGCTTTCCATCACCCCGCCCCATTCTCCCGCTTTCCATCACCCCGCCCCATTCTCCCGCTTTCCATCACCCCGCCCCCTTCTCCCTCCTTCCACCACCCCGCCCCATTCTCCCTCCTTCCATCACCCTGCCCCATTCTCCCGCTTTCCATCAGCCCGCCCCATTCTCCAGCTTTCCATCAACTTGCCCCTTTCTCCCGCTTTCCATCTCCCCGCCCCATTCTCCCGCTTTCCATCACCCAGCCCCATTCTCCCGCTTTCCATCACCCCGCCCCATCTTCGCGCTTTCCATCACCCTGCCCCAATCTCCCGCTTTCCATCACCCTGCCCCAATCTTCCGCTTTCCATCACCCCGCCCCATTCTCCCTCCTTCCATCACCCCGCCCCATTCTCCCGCTTTCCATCACCCCGCCCCATTCTCCCGCTTTCCATCACCCCGCCCCATTCTCCCGCTTTCCATCACCCCGCCCCATTCTCCCGCTTTCCATCACCCCGCCCCATTCTCCCTCCTTCCATCACCCCGCCCCATTCTCCCGCTTTCTATCATCCCGCCCCATTCTCCCTCCTTCCATCACCCCGCCCCATTCTCCCTCCTTCCATCACCCCGCCCCATTCTTCCGCTTTCCATCACCCGCCCCATTCTCCCGCTTTCCATCACCCCGCACCATTCTCCCTCCTTCCATCACCCCGCCCCATTCTCCCGCTTTCCATCATCCCGCCCCATTCTCCCTCTTTCCATCATCCGCCCCATTCTCCCTCCTTCCATCACCCCGCCCCATTCTCCAACTTTCCATCACCCCGTCCCATTCTCCTTCCTTCCATCACCCCGCCCCATTCTCCCTCCTTCCATCACCCCGCCCCATTCTCCCGCTTTCCATCAGCCCGCCCCATTCTCCCACTTTCCATCACACCGCCCCATTCTCCCACTTTCCATCACCCCGCCCCATTCTCCCGCTTTCCATCACCCTGCCCCATTCTCCCGCTTTCCATCACCCCGCCCCCTTCTCCCTCCTTCCATCACCCCGCCCCATTCTCCCTCCTTCCATCACCCCGCCCCATTCTCCCGCTTTCCATCACCCCGCCCTATTCTCCCGCTTTCCATCACCCCGCCCCCTTCTCCCTCCTTCCATCACCCCACCCCATTCTCCCTCCTTTTTATCACCCCGCCCCATTCTCCCGCTTTCCATCATCCCGCCCCATTCTCCCGCTTTCCATCACCCCGCCCCCATTTTCCCGCTTTCCATCACCCTGCCCCAATCTCCCGCTTTCCATCACCCTACCCCAATCTTCCGCTTTCCATCACCCCGCCCCATTCTCCCTCCTTCCATCACCCCGCCCCATTCTCCCGCTTTCCATCACCTCGCCCCATTCTCCCGCTTTCCATCACCCCGCCCCATTCTCCCGCTTTCCATCACCCCGCCCCATTCTCCCGCTTTCCATCACCCCGCCCCATTCTCCCTCCTTCCATCACCCCGCCCTATTCTCCCGCTTTCCATCATCCCGCCCCATTCTCCCGCTTCCCATAACCCCACCCCATTCTCCCGCTTTCCATCACCCCGCCACATTCTCCGGCTTTCCATCACCCCGTCCCATTCTCCTTCCTTCCATCACCCCGCCCCATTCTCCCTCCTTCCAGCACCCCGCCCCATTCTCCCGCTTTCCATCAGCCCGCCCCATTCTCCCACTTTCCATCACCCCGCCCCATTCTCCCGCTTTCCATCACCCCGCCCCATTCTCCCGCTTTCCATCACCCCGCCCCATTCTCCCGCTTTCCATCACCCCGCCCCCTTCTCCCTCCTTCCATCACCCCGCCCCATTCTCCCTCCTTCCATCACCCCGCCCCATTCTCCCGCTTTCCATCAGCCCGCCCCATTCTCCCGCTTTCCATCACCCCTCCCCTTTCTCCTGCTTTCCATCTCCCCGCCCAATTCTCCCGCTTTCCATCACCCCGCCCCATTCTTCCGCTTTCCATCACCCCGCCCCATTCTTCCGCTTCCCATCGTCCCGCCCCATTCCCCCGCTTTCCATCACCCCTCCCCATTCTCCCTCCTTCCATCACCCTGCCCCATTCTCTCGCTTTCCATCACCCCGCCCCATTCTCCCGCTTTCCATCACCCCGCCCCATTCTCCCGCTTTCCATCACCCCGCCCCATTCTCCCTCCTTCCATCACCCCGCCCCATTCTCCCGCTTTCCATCACCCCGCCCCATTCTCCTTTCTTCCATCACCCCGCCCCATTCTCCCTCATTCCATTACCCCGCCCCCATTTTCCCGCTTTCCATCACCCTGCCCCATTCTCCCGCTTCCCATAACCCCGCCCCATTCTTCCGCTTTCCATCACCCCGCCCCCCTTCTCTCTCCTTCCATCACCCCGCCCCATTCTCCTTCTTCCATCACCCCGCCCCATTCTCCCGCTTTCCATCAGCCCGCCCCATTCTCCCGCTTTCCATCACCCCGCCCCTTTCTCCCGCTTTCCATCTCCCCGCCCCATTCTCCTGCTTTCCATCACCCCGCCCCATTCTCCCGCTTTCCATCACCCCGCCCCATTCTTCCGCTTCCCATCATCCCGCCCCATTCCACCGCTTTCCATCACCCCTCCCCATTCTCCCTCCTTCCATCACCCCGCCCCATTCTTCCGCTTTCCATGACCCGCCCCCATTCTCCCGCTTTCCATCACCTCGCCCCATTCTCCCGCTTTCCATCACCCCTCCCCATTCTTTTGCTTTCCATCACCCCGCCCCATTCTCCAGCTTTCCATCACCCTGCCCCATTCACCCGCTTTCCATCACCCGCCCCATTCTCCCGCTTTTCCATCACCCCGCCCCATTCTCCCGCTTTCCATCAGCAGCCCCATTCTCCCGCTTTCCATCACCCCGCCCCATTCTCCAGCTTTCCATCACCCCGCCCCATTCTCCCGCTTTCCATCACTCCGACCCATTCTCCCGCTTTCCATCACCCCGACCCATTCTCCCACTTTCCATCACCCCGCCCCATTCTCCCTCCTTCCATCACCCTGCCTCATTCTCCCTCCCTTCCATCACCCCGCCCCATTCTCCCGCTTTCCATCACCTCGCCCCATTCTCCCGCTTTCCATCACCCAGCCCCATTCTCCCGCTTCTCCATTACCCTGCCCCATTTTCCCGCTTTCCATCACCCCGCCCCATTCTCACGCTTTCCATCACCCTGCCCCAATCTCCCGCTTTCCATCACCCCGCCCCATTCTCCCTCTTCCATCACCCCGCCCCATTTCTCCCGCTTTCCATCACCCCGCCCCATTCTCCCGCTTTCCATCACCCAGCCCCATTCTCCGCTTTCCATCACCCCGCCCCATTCTCCGCTTCCATCACCCCACCCCATTCCTCCCTCCTTCCATCACCACGGCCACATCTCTCCACCTTCCATCACCCCGCCCATTCTCCCGCTTTCCATCACCCCCGCCCCATTCTCCCTCCTTCCATCACCCTGCCCCATTCTCCCTCCTTCCATCACCCCGCCCCATTCTCCCGCTTTCCATCACCCCGACCCATTCTCCCGCTTCCCATAACCCCCACCCCATTCTCCCGCTTTCCATCACCCCGCCACATTCTCCCGCTTTCTATCACCCCGCCCCCATTCTCCCTCCTTCCATCACCCCGCCCCATTCTCCCGCTTTTCCATCACCCCGCCTCATTCTCCCCGATTTCCATCACCCCGCCCCATTCTCCCGCTTTCGATCACCCGCCCCATTCTCCCGCTTTCCATCACCCGCCCCATTCTCCCGCTT